AAATTCTTTATTTTTTTGCTGTCTTAAATGCAAATACTGACCTTTCTGAGTATCCCCGATGTTCTTATCTTACAGAATGGGGCAATTGCAACATTCTCAAAAACATTATTTAATGGAAAGACTAAAAGGACTGCAATTGCAGAAGAGCACCCACAGGAGAGAAGTGGTATTCAGGGGGGCAGGACTCCCTGGGGGTGGCAGATAAAAGCACATTGTGGACTGTAGAGTCGTGGGCCAGGTAGGAAAAGGTCATTTTGTGACAAAAGTTGCTCAAGGGACTTTACTGAGCAGCACCAAAGCAGAAGGTCATGTTAGTAACTGGGAGCCAGTGGAGCTGAAGAACGTGCTTCCTCCGTCACATGGAGGTGTCTCGCTCATGACCCATGGGACCTCTGTGCAATAAGACAGACATACAAGCAGTGTTGAGGAAAATAAAATAAATACTCTGACCTTGTTTGCTTATTACGAATGTTAGCAAAAAAAAATGTTAGCAAAAAAAATGGGAGCAAAAACAAATATTAGAAATGACGTTTATTAGTGAGGACTAGACTGTGGCCGTTTCTCAATCACGAGGATATTGGCTTCCAAGCCAATATTTCAAGGATGCTACGTCATCAAGTGGCGCAGCAGGACCGTTCCAATGTCCAGCATACTTGGAATTCCACCGAGGCCGCGTCCTTGGTTTGGGGGAAATTTCGAGGCTGCACATGGGTAGACTTCGTGTCCTTAAAATCCCCACAATGCTTTGCGCACGGACCAATTTCCCCAAATCTGTGGCGGAAAATGTAAGGCGGGGCCTCTCATATGACGCACACCTGCACACTTGCTAGCCTGTTCCACTCTTCGTTTTCCGAATGCCAGGAAGGATTCTTGCCTAGCTTCTGAAGGAAGTGACTCGGCAGACATGTGCTACCAAGCAAGCGTACTCGCGATTGAGAAACACCCCGTGTATCTTGTTTATGGATCATCTATATACTATTGGCTCTCAGGCTGCCTCTTTTCACCCTCTGTCTGAGACCAGAGCCCAATCTGCTCTGATTGGTAAGCTGGCCGGCACTGTTGTGATTGGTCAACAGCATAGAGATGTCCCGCCCCTTAGCCTATCACCTACAATGTGTTGGGACACTAGAAACGCAACTGTTACATAGTGATGTCATTATGTCAGGGAAGTAAACAAAGGGTTCCAGTGTGTGGGAGAGAAACTCCCTCTGGAGGGAACTTTGGGATTTTAGCCATTGAAGGCCATCTACATGCACATGCACCTAAACAACACACTACAGGAATGGGAAAACCCCCCAAAAGCATAACAGGGGTTCTTTAAAAGGAACTTAGTACGTTAATATCCTGTTTGAAATCAAATTGGACACAGTTCATAAATCCTAAATTCCACCTACACTCTGCATCATGAAAATAGGATCTACTATTCTTGGAATGAGATTGACTTCATAGCAGTCACATTAGCAGTAACACAGTGTTTGGGTACATTAGGTACTTGATTTGTGTTTTTCAGGTAGGCTGGTACAGTCGAAAATGCTGCCATGAAATGTGGATTTGATAAAAATCTGACAAAGTTCGCTTTCATGTTTTGACATAGTTTAAATATATGCATCTATAAAGAAAATGAACCCTAAAACTATGAGCCATTATTTCCACACAAAACATCAAACATGGGTGTTTCGGTGCTTATCACCTCCTCTTGAAAAGCCCAATGCTAGCTTAGAAAAAAGACTTTCTGTGGAAGTAAAGAAAATATATTTCCAACCTGGCACATTTCATCCCAAACCACACTCAGCGGACCACAAGATCAACACGCACATGTTAGATTAGGCTGTCTGACTACAACGCCTAAGGATCTAAAACACAACCCAAAACTTGGCCGGAGCATGGAGACACAAAGCAGGTGTTCTCTGCTCCCAACAGCTGCTGAGGAAAACTTTGGAGAAGCTGGACATCACTGTGTATTAGTGTTAAAGACTCATCGTATACTAGTATGTGCACTGGTGGAGGAACAACAAACACTGCAAAGTATTCTACACTTATATAATAATTATGTGTCGGAAACAACAGCACAAAGACATTCCACACTTGTGTTTGTTGTAGCACCACAAACTAGAGAAAGGTATTTTTCTTGCTGCTAGGAAAGTAAAGACAGTGAGTAATGTGTGCCTTTGCTGCTGACTCACATACAACGTAATATGGATTTCACATCAAAAGATGAAGATGAGGCAGAAGAAAGCTTTTACCTACGGGACATCCAGATTAAAACATGCTAAAACAGTGGTACCAGCAGAAAGCAGTTCTTCACCTCACCTTTTGCATTTTGGTCAATATACACCTCAGTCAATTCACCCACCAGTCTTTTTAAAGCAACACTTGGTATTTAGCACCATGTTCGTGTTTTTTAGGACAAAACACCTGTCACTTCTACAGAATTTACAGATTGCTTCTTGTAATTTCCTAGAATACCCAATTTAACTTCCAGAGAAACTTTTTTGTTCACGCCAGAGGATATTAATGAAGTCTGCCAGGCACATTAGCTCATTAATAATATTACAGATTAAACTATGATGAATTGGTGGACTGCACAATGGGTTGTTCTGGCCCTAATGTGACCAGTCTCTTATCCGACCTTTACAGATACAAGCAGTATAAGACACAGGAGACACAGAGACCCTCGTGGGGCAGGACTAAGAGAGCACATGTACAGACGCTTGCTTCATAATGGAAAGAGGTACGTGGTGGACCTTTTTACACTGTGTTAGTTTCCAATAATAGATAATTTTTTTATTTCTGCAGACACTTAAGGGAATACAGGTCTTGAAAGACTGAATGAGTGAAAAGGCAGATTCCTGTGGACTTAAACTGACTGACTTGTTTCTTTGCGCTGTATTTTTGCATATAAAACAAGAATAGGAGAGTAGCAGTATATTCTACACATTTATATTTTAAGTGTTGCCTGATGCATATTGAGCCTATACTAATAATTCAGCTGTTTTTCATATTAAATTGTGAATGTTTAATTCAGAGAATAACTGCCAATTGTAATATATAACCTCTTTCCTGCAGACTTATTAGTTTGAAATGTCAACATTATCATAATATATAATGGAGCTGATTATAAATATATGGTGTTCACTCCAAAAAAAGAAAAGTCAGTAAAGATAAGGAAAATACTATATAAGATGTAATATCTTCAGCATTACTAAACTATGATCACCACTATGAACCTTCTAGACACTTACTAAAATAAGTGTAAAATCTGTGGAGTGCCCCTTTAATTTGACCTACTGATTGACAGATAGATCACTAACACTTCAGGTCGAATGTTTTAAAATCCATTGCTCCTTTTTTTACAGACAGTAGCTGATTAACGACATTTTAGCATTTTTGAAACCGCCTATTAGACAGAATATAAGGCCACACGTAGTAAAAATGCTCTCAACAGGGAAAAGACCCCAGGTGCTTGTCAACTGTTACCCTCTGAAGAAAAGAGGCAAAGCCATCAAACCTCTACCCCCTCCCAGTGGCATTGAGTAAATAAACAACAGGGTTAACAGGGACATGGGGAGAGAGATCTAAAAAGGGAAAATCTACCCTAAAATGCAATTAAATGTATACAGTTATGATGTAAAATCACACAATATGAACACATTTTTCCAGTCAAGTCACAAATCTCGGATATTGTAAGGAGACATAACATGGAATTGGTTGACTAAAAGCAAACGGTGTGTAAATTAACTGTACATTTCTCTCCTGTAATTAAATATATATATATATTTTCTTATTTGTGCTTCGCAAAATTCCCTATAGGGAAGTATTGTACTTTTTTTTTTAATACATTTATCTAACATCTTCAGTTATAGTAACTTTTCAGATTAAGATTATCGATTAAAAAAACGATATGATAAGCTTGTAAAATACAAAGAATAAACCAGTGGCTCCCAGCCTTTTTGGATTGTGACCCCAAGTCTAATGCCCTTGAGATAATACTTTACCTCAAGTGGAAATAAAACCATATTTGTTTCTCATGTATTTTTACACCATACTTAACTGATCATCAGTCTTATAGAGTGGAAGCTGTTTGTGTTGACGGTCTGTGAACAAAGTGAGTGTTATATATTCATCTGTTCTATGATGAGTTCACCTTAAACACAGCGTGATAGGACATTGCTACTGAGACCCACTGAGATGGACTCTGTATGGGACCACGAGCAGAAAAAGCACAAATGGAGCAATGATTAAGGGCTATATCTAGGTCAAGAGAATAAATGCAGATATAGTTAGGACGAGACAAATTAGAGTCATGCTACGTCAGCATAATCATGAGTTAGCAAAGAACACAGATTTCCCCACACACACACACACACACACACACACACACACACACACCTGTAATGCATCAGCTGTTCTCACTACGCACTTTGAGAGGACAATTTAAAAATGGAAAGCTTCGAGAGAACTTGAGAAGTTGTTGAAGAAATGTGTTAATTTGTAAGAAACACAGATAATATTATTAAATATACTGCATGTTCTTCCACAGAGGGATTCACATAGTGACCTGTGTTTGCGGCTGCAGAATGGACGCTCTGTGATCAGCATTGAGCAGTGTGTTTCTGCATCTCAGTGTGCGTCTGTGCTTAGCATTCAGAGTGACGAGGTTCAGAGACACCTCAACGGTAGCAGTGTCTGTGTGAATAAAGGTCATTATTGTAGAAAGGGGAGGCACAGAAAGACGGGAAATTGTGAGAGAGAGGAGATTGGGGTAGGACGAGGAGTTGAGATCAGAAATAAAGAATGATTAAAGCTGAAGTCGAATGTGAAAGGAAGAAGAAAGAAACCTAAATATATGTCCTAAAAGCACTCCATTCTGCAACCCTGACCATATATTTGAATGTTACATTTTGACCCATTGCTGCCATATGTGCGAAAATAAAAATAAATGCTGGTTTGGAAGATGAGGAGAGGGGGGGGAAGACAAGAAATAAAGGATCTGTACTCACTCAGCATTTGCCATGATGCTGGCTGATGGAAAGAGGAGGGGATGTTTGTCACAAGATTTCCTCTCAGTTCTGCCGGTTTTCTGCTGCAGTTCACCTTTTCACCTGATAGATGCTTCTTTCATGTTGAACCTGGGAAGAAAATGGTCATTATCGCAACTGAAGAAAAAAGTTATGACATAAATCCAATAGCCACAGTCGGCGGGGATCCAGAAAGTTAGTCTAAATAAAGACATACAAACTAAGCAATTGTTAGACAGATATAGTAACATTAAATCTGCTGATGTGATACAGTTGTTTAGGAAATTGTTCTCTAGAGCATATACTTTGTTTCTTTTAACTGGTGATGAAAAATAGGTTTAACGTGGTGGAACTCATTGCTTTCATCACACACCATGAGAAACCTATTTGAGGGTCTCAAGACAAGGAAAGTGGAAAATGTCAGAGTAACAAAAATCCCAACCCTTGCAGCTTTAGAAGTCATACATACTTTGAAAAGTAGAATTCAAATAATATGTTAGACGTCAAAAACAGACTAGATGTAGCCTACTATTCTTCACTACTCACCAAACTACTTTCCCCAAAAACAAATAAACTTGTAAATGTAAACTTTTGACACCATTGCATTTATTTTCTTGGGTCAACCATACAATATTTAACAGAACTGGAGGCATGTCAGACTTTTCTACAGTGTAATACATGGATCCGAAAACTGAACTGATTTACTTGCTGGTATCAGATTGCAACTAAACTACAGTGTTGCACACAACTACAAAACATCCTCGCTGTACATAAATGAATTATTCGCACCTACCTGTGTGAGATTTACATTGTTGACGGGCTCTCGCGCCTCCCGCTGCCCCCTCGCTGATAGTAATGTCTCCCTCGGTGGCGATCAGAGTAAGTGAAGCAGCAGCAGGCTCGCAGTGTGTGTAGGCTGCAGCTATCCTTAGCACTTTTGCATTGGACGAGCACCACCGCTGCTGCTGCTTCCGCTGCTCCCACTTGCGCTGCTGCTTGGATTTCAGTGCAAAACGCAAGAAGCATCGTCACACGGCAAGATCATATTAGCATCTATTCAGACTGATTAAATCACGAAGAGTGCAACCTGCTCCTGGTTGGGAGCGTTGAATGGATGCTCCAGAGATCCAGGTCCAGGTTCCGCTCCTCAGCCGAGGGTTTCCCCGGCGAGCACAGCGGGGAACCCTGGGTAAGGAGCTGTCCAGGGGCTGAAGCAAAACCTCTCCACCGACCTCCTTCCACACAGCAGCGGCCGGGCAACGCGGAGAGATCTTCATCCAAACGCCATCAAAACATTGACGTTTTCGTGCCGGAGACAGTAGCCAATGAATCGTGTGACATTTGCATCGCTCCGGTCACGACATAGCAGTCTAAAAATGTTGGCCGTGTGTGTGTGTGTGTTTGTGTGAGAGAGAAAGGATGCGAATAGATTTTCCCAGTTCCCGATTGAGGCCAATTTGAGAGCGGATTATCGCCACAGATGATTTTATTAGCTTTACGCCTGGTAGGTCGTCCCTCTCCGTGTCACGAACGTTTTTTGTATGGTTTCCCAAAATAAAGATACTATGGGAATATAAATTGCCTTTACAGCAATTGGCTTAACCGTTTGTCATTCATCGGGATTAGCCAGTCGATGGTTAAAGCGCACATCAATCAATCTCAAGCGTCTCTTCCTTTATTTAAACACGCCTGGACGTGGGCTGCTGCAGATTTTATAGGCTGAGGCTCACATTTCAGGGTGTACGCAAATAAGGAAAAGTGGTGATCTAAATTAAAACAGTAGTAGGCCTGTAGTTACAACCGAGTAAGGAAGCGTAACGCCCATTGTGCAGGGACTGGTTCTGGAGATGCTGCTGTAGGGAATTTAACAGTGGAGTTAATGAAATAAATGGAAATGGCACACATCTACGTATTGGAAGTGATTTAATAAGGGGATAAGCAGAACAGATATGATTTGGCACATGTAGAAAAGTGCATCAACACCAAAACAACTTTGTTCAATTAAAACACTAACTTCAAATACACCTTAATATCATCAGAACCTATAAGGGTAGATGCGTGTATTAATATACAAAAGAGGACTTCTAATAATTTTTTTGTTAAAGTAAACAGTTGGAATTGTAGCTGCAGCCTTGATCAAAATGCTGAATCTTAACATATAACAGCTACCTGATCAACAGACATACACTGTGTATATATACACACTGGAAATTGCACCTTCATGTAATCAGAATATTTTTCTTAGGGATGAAAAAAGCACCACATAACACATTAATACAACATTAATGATTCTGACAGACCAATTTTGTACAAAGGCATCTGTAAAAGGTTGATTTTTCTTTCTGAACATGCTGCTAGGTAGTTAGTCTCCGACTACACTATCAGGATTTCAAAAATACCTTTTACTACTTTAGCAAAGGAAACCAAATACATCATCGTCAAAACAATGACAAGGCTTTTTTTTTCTGAGGTGAAATTGAGAGTTTCTGCTAGTCAGTGTAACTTACACAGCCAACAGGGCAACCGTTCTCTCTGCTCCTTCTGATTAAGGAGGCTTGTTTTTCTTTAAAAATGCAGGCATGGAAGTAACTATTAAGCCCAAACATTTACAGCTGAAAGTAGGTAGTAGAAGATATGAACTGACGTGGACAAAAAAAGAGGCACTGTAAGACTGACAAATGTCCCTGTACCCAATAGAACCATGGCAGATAGATATCTTCCATACGGCTAACACGTTAGTCTCATTGGTGAGATAAGTGTGAAAAAGGAAAAATTATGTAAAATCTACATAACAATAAAGAGAATTCAAATCAAGATAATCTTGATTGTGTCGAAGAGGGCCCGCATTATTTACATGAATAAAAAGTGCCTGCGCTGAATCAAAAACTATTACAGCTATTTGTACTCACCTGCAAAGCAAACAGACCATGAGGTCGACGTCAAAAGGTAAGATATGCCTTGTGTGTCAAAATTATATACACATATATTTTACTAGAGTGATCTATCACATTTTAATACTAAAAGAGAAACATCAGTTGTATTTTATCTTTGTGAAACTCTAGTTCAGATATGAGGCTGTGTTTACACACACAGTCTCAGAGGATTTCCCAAATGATGCCATTACCATGATGGCTAAAGGGATCATTTCCTGCTTTACAAGCAGAACTGGTGACAGCTATATTCTGAGTCGTAATGCGAGTAAAACTCTGAACAAAAGGTTTCTTGTACCGACAGCTGTAGCAAACGGGAATATTAAAGGTTGTGTTTTCCTTCCGTTGGTCCTTTGTGATGTGGGTCGGTCAGCCTACATGGACGAGGGTCATGACTGTACTGTACTCGTGCTGCAGACTCTCCGTGTCAGTGTCGCACAGCGTGTAGTCTTCTTTTACAATTCGGTCGCAGCCGATCTCACCGTTTCCGAACAGGCCGAAGAGCGGGGTGTTGGGGAACACCTTGTGAAAGGCGTCGGCCTCTACGTTGGCCTGGTCTTTGTAGAAGTTTTCACCTCTCCCCAAGCAGGCGAACATAAACCCAATGGTGTTCTTCTCGGGAATCTTGGCTGCTTTTAGCCGCCCAATGGTGGCCTCGGCTGCCTTTGGGCTGGTGATCTCTTGGTCCAAGAGCACAGACGCCCCTTGCACTTTAGGGCCACTCAGGGCGAGGCCCGCCACACCGTATTGACCCTGCAAACAGCTACAGATTGAGAGGATAGGAGAGTGAGAATATAGCAAATAGAATACAGAACAAAAGTGAGGCTGCTAATTTAACTCAGCAAGTGGTAAAATCATAACTTCAAGTCTTTCAATCCAATCAAATCCTTTTGGCAGTTCTTTAAATGGTTAGGAATTGTTTTACTGATGAAATGTTATTGAAAGTGCTGATGATGAGCTTTCTAGTGGGAATTTAGGAATTTCCTTCTGGTTTTTGGGTGTTTTCTTTTGAGTCTCTTATTTTGAAAGTGTAAGGTTTCAATTTACACAACAGATCTTTTGTCTCTGTAACCTGCGCATCACTAGTTTCCTCTGCCATTTTAACCATATCTGGTACAATGTATTTATTGTATATTTGCACCGTTTAATACAATAATTAATTAAGCCTCAAAGAAACGTAGGACATAAAATGAGAGGGAATTCTCAATAACTATTCAGTCAAACTTTGTTTCCCTTTTAATTGTTGTTATTGTAATAAAAGCTTAATTCTTCCCAAAATGGCTAAGAAACAGCTGTGATTCAAGTGAAAGACTGTCACTCACCAGTGTCTGGGAGGAGAGAAGTAACTGTCCACCAGCCCTCCAGCAATGAGGGCTTTGCTCTTGGCCAGCGGCTCCAGTATTTGGACCAGAAAGCGTGCTGCTCCGTTTTGACACGGCTCGTAGACAAACAACAGAACCACACGCAGCTCCGGGTTGTCAACTAGTCCTGGAAAAAAAGTACACACAGGAGAGAAATTGAAAAAAAACAAGAACTTGGTACCTTTACAGGATTACTGAATAATTGTTGTGAGCCTCTCTCACCTGCTTCCTTCAGGGCTGTTGGGGACATGGACTTCTCGCAAAAATGAAAGGGCTTGATGTTGACCCCCTCTATGCTGGGGAACATGATGGCAAAGCCCGCCTCCCCCTCCTGGTACTCCTTAGGAACGCTGGAGAACGAGCCGCTGGGCGTCACTGCACAGAGGAGCAGGCATGAGTTAGAAATTAAGTTTTGGTTAATAAGTCGTGTGAGATGAAGGTCTGTGAGTTGTTATAATAGCCTAAAAGTAAACAATTTTTTCTGACACTGAGTTACTCTTGATGGCCGATGGAATGTTGAAAACAGTGTTGACTTGAAGAGTACATTTTGACACAAGACTTATATTCCAAAATGACATATCCATAATAAAGGATACATCTATTACACCCTGCCCTCCAATTACATCAACAAAAGAAAAATGATAATACAGTAAGCATCTAGTGGCCATTTAGATGAACTGCAGCTCACGGCACAATTCAATTGGCTTCACCAATCAACTTTGGTCATTTCAAAACTCAAGACAGCAATGCAAACGGCAGGAAACACTTCAGCTAATTGAACAGGAGACCCTCACTGTCCCTGAATGAAAGATACATAATTAATATTTACTCAGCCTCGGACAGATCAACATATACATAAGGAACACCCACACAGCGGGTATGGTTGCACAACCAATCGATAGCATGAACTTTTACATTACAAAAAGATGTAACTGTATTCAAAGTGAGCAAATACAGCACATTAGTACCTCCCATCCTCCACAGTGGGACAGTTCATGGATTTCATAATGCAGAAATACTGGCCTGTGTCTGCTAGGACGTGTATCACATGTCATGTCTTTATTACCATTCAGCCCCACTAAAACACGCATTAATAATGAGACCCACCTGCGGCTATATTGCAGACTTATTACAAGTAATCTTTAAATTCAATCCAATCAAAGATGTAATTCAATTGAATCAGACGTGCTGTGCGCGGTGACCTTGTGCTGTCCCTCAGCTGCAATATCACAAAATGAGTGTTATCGCAAACAGCTGAGGCTGCCATTAAACCTGATAGACGACGGGAGCCTGATAAGCCATCATCATGAAGAAAGAGAACATGGCTGATGGAGAGTCACTTCTCCGCAGGGTTGTGATTATATGGAGGAATGGGGAGCACAGCACCAGGCAGACTAGGCCATCTATCAGAGGCAGAGGAGCGCCAGCCACCAGTGGTGCTTTCCAACCAGGCAGCAGCAGCAGATGAATGCTTAGTCCTCTAAGCTGAAAGGTGAACTATTCATCTTTAATCAACTTAAGCTTTGTTTTCTGTGCATGCTATGAGACAAATATGCTAAGGTCACATATTTGTACCATCAAAGTCTTAAAGCTCATATAATAAACCTTTTGATATCAACATTGAATTAAAGGATTCTCTTATGTAGCAACCCATACTTTGGTCGCATTCACCCCTAATAGTCCGCTTCTCTGGTGCGCACCAGACCACAGTTTGTTACATTGTTTCATTTTTCAGAAAGTTGACTATAAACTTGAAACAAGTCATGTGCACGGAAATGCTGTTCAACAATTGGTCAGACATTAAGGGGGTAAAAAAACGCAAATCCCAGCAATCTCTACCGTAGCCTCCGCCATGGAGCATCGGCAGGTTATTTTCATGCTGCTGTTAATCTGGAGATCAACCGACCCTAGCGGCCCGCACATATGATTATACAATCAGACGTGCGTTAAAAAAACATTATAACACATAATGAGAGACGTTCTGCAGTAAGGAGGGGCGTTTCATCGTCGACAGGTGGCTCTGACCTTTATGTATAGTTGATGGAGCATTTTTACTTTACACGACACTGTTCAACAGTTCATTCTGCTTCACTCTTTCGCTAAAGATTTTGAAGACATCCGCATTCTGACTCGTAAATACTAGGCTTCCTGTGTTTTGGTGCGGACTGCGTTCACACCGGCGATGAACCACTCCAGAGTTCACTAGCAAGCGGTCCGAGACCACCTCTTTTAGGCGGACCAGAGTTCGGTTGCTTAGTTCACATCAGAGGTCTCGGACTGTGTTCACACCAACCCAAACGAACCAAGCGGTTGAACGCACCAGGGTTCGATACAAACGGACTAAACAAGGCTGGTGTGAATGCGACCTTTAATTAAGGGGGTTTGGCAGGGATTTAATGTTGATCTATATGAATGAGGAAATATGAAAAGTAGGGATGGGTATCGTTTGAAATGTATCGATTCTGCTTATCGATTCCCCGTTTCGATTCCAAAATTGTAAAAGAAAGAGGTCAAATGTTTAGATAGGAAAAATATCTTAATTATTTTCAAGCTTTTAACTGACATTTTTATAAATTAAAAAAATACACAATAGCTGTGCTTTATTTCAACTGAGGTAGCAGTAGGAAACCTACTGACATACATTTTATAACAGTACCTGGCTTTTACTGTACAAGTACCCTACTATCGTCACACTTTTTTTTTTAACCTTGCATACCTAAATGACGGAGCTTCGGCAACCGAGAAGGGATGTAGCCCTTTGATCACAAATGCTGTTACCGCTCTGTGAAACTCCTCCGTTTTTTCCTCTGGTCAGCTTTCCTTTTAATGGCAAAGAGAACGGTGTGTCGCGGCTAGCTGTACCTGGCACTTCTGGACATGCAAGCGGCGGGTCCGGGGTGCTAGTGCTAGCTATTGATGCCATACTCGGGCTCAACCGAGTTTCGGTTCCCAACCCTAATGAAAAGACAGAAAAGAGGAACACTCACTGACTATGCCCGGTGCGACCACACCCATGATGTCACAGCCTTTGGGGAAGAACCGGTTCACTTCTTCAAATGGGTCCAGACTGTGGCGCCTCATTTTTGCTTCTGAGTAGTGGAGAGAAAAATTAACATGTTTATTAAAAAGTTCATGATGATTCTTATCCTTTTTACTGTGTTGTATCTATATATATATATATATATGTATATTCGAGTGAAAAGTTATACCACTGATTTAAATCAATGTATAAGGTATATTAAACTACAGGTAACCATAGAAACCGGGAAATAAACTTCATCACTACTTATTGTGGCTATAAAGAAACTCAGAAAGAAACCTTTAATACATGTTTCTGGTTCAAGCAATTTGTGCTTTAAGTGCTGAATGACTTCAAAAAGGACGTGCAATATGTATGCATTTTAGAATTCATATCATTGAGGTGAGGTTCTGGGGTTTTTCAGGGAATTAGGTATTTTCTGTAAAATATCCATCTTTGTGAACCATCTTGAACATAAGGCCCAAAGCTGTTAATAGCTGTAAAGCTGACCTCAGTTACAAATGTATCCATCTGTCAGATGTTAAACACATGTGCATAACACTTCTAGAATGTGAATGCTTGTGGTTTTCTCTGTGAGTAGAGAGAATTCTTCTATTGCTACAACATATCGTTAAATGAACACAATGTAATGAATTCCAACAGCACTGTCTAATACTAACGTTTATTTTGTCTGTAGCAATAAGCTTGTCCATTGAAGGCCTCGCAGTCTACCAGAGCCAGCACAGTTTTGGGCAGGAGAAACACTTTCTGAAAAGAATCAGAAGGAAAGAGCATTTGTCAAAACGCAATACATCACCCAACAACTTATGTATACAAGGGATAAAAACATTAGCTCCAGGACACATTTGCAGGTTTCCCCAAGACTACAAAAGATAATAGTAGAGATATGTTTTGGCTTCGTATCATTGCATGTTAAGCAAATCTTCAAAACAATACTACCATATGAATGTGTATCATACTATGGTATGTTATATAAACTATTATCTTTAACTTTGTAATGGGCAATTATAGATCTTCAGAATCAGTATATAATATTGATCCCAGGGGAATTTAGGGTTTGTCACAGTTGCTCCCATTCTAAAGACAGACACAATAATTTTAAGAAAAGAAAGAAGAAATATGTTAAGAGAAAATGCTTTATAGTACACCACTTAACATAATACATATGAAATAGTACGAAAAAAACAGGCCCTTAAAGAAAATATATATCAGTGTTAATTCATATATGATGATAAACTGATCTCATGATTAATTGTGTCAAAATGTATTGACACAATTGTATGAATTGGAATATTTGTTGAAAAAAATGTACGAAGTACGAAAAAAGAATAGCAGTATTATTGCTAAAGTAACCAAAGTTGAACTGCTGCAGTGTAAAGAATTGCATTGTCAAGTCAGGATGGCACAGTTGAAAAATATGTATAAAAGAATGGTGAGTTATTGCTGCTGACAGGGAGAAAATGTGTCCAATGGTCAGTCTATTTTCGCTTTTAACGTCAAACAGCTGTTCATGACGTACCTCCACCTCCTCGGCCAGCATGTTGCAGAGAGCATGGTTCTTCGGGTTGGACGGTCCGCAGGCGGACACCCAGTCCAGCTGCTGCTGGGTCCTCAGCACCCTGCGGGCACAGTTCCTCCACAGCCTGCACACACTGAGGAGAACCATAGACAGAGTGAGGAGAGCCACACACACACTGAGGAGAACAAACAAAGTGAGGAGAGCTACACACACTGAGGAGAACCACAGACAAAGTGAGGAGAACCACAAACACACTGAGGAGACACACACTGAGGAGAAGGACAGACACACACTGAGGAGAGCCAGATACAAAGTGAGGAGAGCCACAAACACACACTGAGGAGAACCACACACACACTGAGGAGAACCACACACACACACACACACTGAGGAGAACCACACACATTGAGGAGAACCACACAGACTGAGGAGAACCACACACACACACTGAGGAGAACCACACACACACTGAGGAGAGCCACACACACAGTGAGGAGAGTCACACACACCCTGCTAGACTGGTTGAAACTTGGTATGAGAGTTAACGTTAGCTAGTGGTTTTGTACTTTGCTTGAGTATTACAATGTTTTGCAACCACAATTCAAAAGGTAAACAGTGTACTTTTACTCCACTATATTTATTTAATACCTTAAGTTACGTTACATATTTGGATTAATGATGTAAAATATAATCAACACTTAAATCAGACTTTAGTTACACCTGGAGTAAATTCACAAGCTACCCTGCAGTATACAAAGTCATTAAAGCTAGCTGCACCTTTACCAGCCTTGATAACACTTGAATGAATCAAAAGTAAAACTAACTAACTAACTAACTAACTAACTAACTAACTAACTAACTAACTATATATATATATATATATATATATATATATATATATATATATATATATATATATATATATATATATATATTATTCTGAAATGGGCCAATCTGCATAATGAGTTCTTCTACTTTCGGTAGTCTTAAGTGTATTTTGATGTTAATACTTTTCTACTTTTACTTTAGTAACATTTTGAATGCAGGACTTTCACTTGTAATAGAGTATTCCTACACTCTGGTACTTCTACTTTCACTGAAGTACAAGGTCTGAGTACCTTTTCCACCTCGGACGTTAGCTATGCTTCTGTCGGGAAAACACAACTGGGCAGCCGCAAGCAATTACACACCAAGGTTGACTAAAAGGACTGTTTAAAACAATCTGGCTGCAACACAAGCTTCCTAACTGTGCAATATGTGTCTGCAGAACACTTTCACTTCCAGTCGACAGCCATTAGCGTTAGCGAAGTTCAGTGTTTAGCATGCAAGTGTGTTTCGATACCTTGCGATCCGGAGGAGAGATTTGGTCGGAACGAAGGTCAGGATTCGCTCGATGACTTCGGCAACATTGCTGAGGACGTATGCCGCCTTGCTGTCTTGTAAAACAACGGTAAAATCTTCATTTTCACCCATATTTTTCTCTCAAGTCTTTGGGGTTTCCAGCAGGGTTGAACAGCTATGACCTTTCACCTCCGCTCCGCCTCCTTCTCCTCCTCTGCTGCCGACCGAACACAGCGCCCCCTGCGGTGAGGAGGAGCTGTGGCAGGCTACATGCTAGCTTCAACATTCACAGGCTTTATGCAGAGTACCTTCACAGTACAGTACTTCACCTACACAGTGTAGATATGGCAATGAAAAAGTTAGGTCCCAAGCTCCTCCAACAATGCAACATAGTATAGGACAATAACAGACATTTTAAAATAAAAATTGTGCAAGAAGAAACAGAGTAGAAGAGAGAATAAAATAGTGCAGATTATATTGCAAGACCAATGCCTACTGTTTCTTGTTTAACTATTTACTGTGTTCTTAAACATTGATTGTTTTGCAGTATACGACAGATTAGAAAAGTTGGAAAAGCTACTGGCAATACAAAACACAAATGTACAATTACAATGCCATTTTTTAATATACGTCCCACAGCCAAAGCACAGAGTACTACTGATGTTGTTCTTTGTAAACAATCATGACCAAAATGTTTAAACTGAACATTTTACCTCACTTAAATGACAGCTTTGTCAAACATGAACTGACACACAATTTATCCACTGTGTGATATTAAAGGTTCCTCTGACACATGGTTGAAAACTAAAACTCCAACAGAAGATTTTCCGAAGATTTCATTGATTTGAAAAAATATTCGTGAGTTGTTCCAATATCAAAAATGCATGAAGTGTGCACTGTTATTTTGACAAATGTTATTTTTTGTTTGTTTAGAACATATGTTGGCCTTCTCTGGTAAACAGAACACGTGTGCTCTCATTCGTCTTGCACCTAATACACAACAATCTTATTTTTGTTTTTCTGTAATGCAATATGTTATCTCTACTTATTTTTGTGGAAATACTACATACTTCACCTCTTATGCACTTTAAAAAAACATTCTTCAAATAACACCATTATGAGGGGAAAAAAATAAACCACTCTTGGTTTAAATGCATGTAACTCGTGTCAACATGGGCCAAAACCTGTGATAAGCAGTCTTAGGTAGAAACGTTTTTTTCTTTCTGTTAATAACACAATCACTGAATCACAGAAATCAAGTTTCATAGCTCTGGTGATGATAAACAATACAGTGTGATTATAACTCATGGTTACCACATTTCAAAAATGTGTTTAGCTTCTCATTTAAAACAAGTGCTTCCCCTGTATGTTTTTCGTGATTTGCTTAAAGTACCACAAGTATTTCATATTATAAAATAGCCACTATAATGACCAAGTGAACGTTTATTTCACCATTTACATTTTGCACAGCATTCGTTTTTCACACCATTAAAAGAAGTCAGACTTGGAATAAATGATAATTGATCCAACTGTTTATTCATGATCTTTACATTTCCAAGATAAAATGGGAAGAGACACAATAAAATGTTTCTGAAATGAACAGAAAAGTGAGTACAGTGTGTAAACATTTCTTTTACTTAGCCAGTCAAACAGTACATTCAAGCATCTGTGCTAAGAATTCCTTCATTGCTAAACTGTGTACAACATCGCTGACACTGAATACATGTTTAGAATACTGAAGAAACAAAGACACACAAGCAACTTCACGAAAGTACACATAATAAAAGTCCCTTTTATGACCTTGGCTTACTTTATGACTTTGCTGACGATGATTATGTTCATTATGTTTCCCCCCAAAAGTGCAAATTCTCCAGACGTATTGTGTGCACAATTATTAGTGAGTATTTTGACTATATCTATATATTTATATATAAGCATATTTTTCAACTCCAAGCTGTATAACTTGAATGCGTATTGAATTTAAACATATCAGGTGATGTGAGATGAAAATAAACTGAATGAAATGGAAACATTTTCGTTTTTCCCTTTAGTTGCATAATTATTCTGCACCGATAGCATTGTAGTTGTTCAATAATTAAAATAATCCTCAAAAATACTGCTTGCTAATAATTGTGCACAAAGTTTACATGTAAAGGTATTAATGATATGCAGTGAATTTTGACTGACCTTTGATTACAGTGTGTAACGGAAACAGTGTAGTTTAACTGGATATGTGTGTATGTGTGCTACATTGTCTAGAGCTCTTTTCTTCAGGATCACAAGGTCAGAGGAAACATAAACACAAGGCCCAACATCATCTGTAGCAGCCATATACGGGAGCCAGCCATATTCAGAGCAGATGAGGCAACGTGTGGAGAGGAACAGAGCTGGGTCAAAGGTTTATCATCTCCATTAGAGTCTGATCCAGAATCTGCTTTACGCTCAGGCCCTCTTCTTTAGCACGCGAGAGTTTATCTGTTAATAATAGCATTGCTTGGTTAGAAATCATAAAAAACAAACAGAATAAAGATGGGGTAAAAACAGACAAAGCCGGGTTAACAAACCGTGTTAGATATGTGCCGATTATGAAAAAACTTGAATGTAAAAAATTACAATTAGTTAGCATTCAATAAGTACATACATATCCTCGAAACGTGAGTCAACTCACTGTACATATCTTACTAGCTATAGACAGGGCTGTAGTCAAGACTGCATGAGCGGATTTTAGGAGAAAATAATGGACATTTCTTTGTGTTTTAAATGCTTATCAAGACCCTTAGACCCTGTACATCAGATCCAGGTCTATAAAAACAGTATCCATTTCACCCCACATTAGAGACTTCCATTCAAACCCCTTCCTTTTATGTCCCATTATCTTCCTCCACAAGTACCCTAAATTCATTTTTTGCCTCTTTATATTTCCGTATGACAGCTTTCAGTCTGTCTAAAGCTTTAAAGGTTTTACTGTTAAATTGCATTGCTCCCCAACCTTTGATTTTTGACATATACTGCAGTTAGTGACCCATTTCAGAAAGCAGTCATTTAATCACAAGGCACATGTTTCCGCACATGTCTTCATAGACAACTAGTCTGCTTATATTAACCAATTCATCCTTCACACCAAAGTATACTCCCTTCTTTGTTACAATTAAGACTCGAGTGAATTCAAGAGTGTTTCAACTCATAAAAGTAGTTAGATCAGAGACAGCCTGTCAAGAAAAGCAACTGTATTGCTAATGCAAAATTAGCAATACGTGGTCAAAACACTGACATGGGTCCCGACTCAAATGCTACAGATAAAAAAGGGTCTTACAAGGAATATTTGACCACCTGCAGCATTTTAGGAGCCTTTCCCAATCGTCCCCCACTGGCCTTCACCCCGTGAGCAACAGCACCCCATGCAGGTGCTACAGCCCTGTTAGTAACTGAGTAAATATATCAAGTACATTCTGCAACATCACAGTCTGAGGTTGTCCGATCTCTAAATCAGAAACCGCAGCTTTAGCATGCATAATGTGAAAATCATACATTGTTTCCCTTTTGTTAAAAGCATTACTTGGTTTAAGCTTTGCGTCGTAGACACGGCTGTCTACAACCGTTGTTATATCACAGCATTAGACAATATGCCTGGACGTTTGAGTTTCAGAAGAATGGAAGCATAGGAAAGCCCATTCCTGTTTAATCCTCGTTTAAGGCTACTCTCAGTTCATTGGTCAGAAGGCGGTTTTTCTCAATCTGCTTGTATAGATGGTCTTGACAGTCAGAAAGCAGGTAAGAGAAAAGGGGAAGAGACAGAAGAAATGTTAGTACAACAGACAAAGAGTTAGTGCTTTGGAGATCATCACAGAACAAGGGTCAGTCAAGAACTGGACGGCAGACTTCATTAACTCAAACTATAGCAACAACTTACTCCATTTGTCATGCCAATAAGTCTCACTAGATGTCAGTAGATATCCTGGTAACCCATGGCAACATCACCTACTCATTAATTCTTAAGCGCTTGCTGAGATCTTTTTTTTTTCCCCCCCACAAAGATTTTGAGTAAGGCCTGGAAGAAGCCTATGACTATTGGTGCAGGGACGGGGCTAGAATCATCCAATTACCAAGCGGTGTAAATGCTTCGTTAAAATTGAGGATTTAGACACAAATGATTATTCTAAAAGAGGTTTGAGTCAGTCGTTTAAATGCAAAGATCCTTGATTAGGCACAGTTGATTTTTCTAAGTGTGACAAAGATATAAAGTAAGTGGAAATTGCGTTACGTTTTATATTTGTACTGCACACTTGCAGTAACAATACATGAAGCAGAATAAACCCTATATCCACGCAGGTCATGACTTCTGGTTATTTTGCCATATTCTTCTAATTCAAATGAAGACAAGAGGACGGTTGTCATTCATGTAAATATAACAAACACCCCAATACTGCCTTTGCACTCCATAAGGGTCCTCACAAACTGAGAACAAATAAATAAAAAACAGTGAATGGGAGGAGCTTCAGAATTTATTTGAAAGCTACTCAACAAAATAAATTAAAAGACAAAGACAACAGGAACGAAATTAAAAAAGGTGGGACAAATAAAAATGAAGAAACATGGCAGGAGAAAGGGGGAAAAGCTGGCAGAGATGGAAGTGTGTTTATTTTACAGGAAGAAAAACGGCTCAAAGTTCTGTATGAGAAATGAAGGAAGGGATGGCAGCAGCAACAACCCAGTGCGCAGTAGTTACGGGGCAGAAAAGAAATACAGAGACAGAAAGTTGGGCTGTGCTGCAGAGGAGAGAGGTGATGATCAACCAGCTTCTGGGAGAGGGGTGTAAACATTTAGCTGTGAAAAAAGAAGAACAACAAAAAGGGTTGGAGAAATAATGAAGAGGAATGGAAGAATATTGACATGCAGAACAAAGGAGCAAGAAAGGGATGCAGAACTGAGCTGGAAAACGATAGAAAACGAGAACAATTAAAGGTAGGGTAGGTAAGTTTGAGAAACCGTCTCGAGATACACTTTTTGTTATATTCCATGGAATGCTCTTAACATCCCGATAGCAATGAATATCTTAAGTGCTTTGACAAAAAATCCATAAAAAAATGTCATCTGTGGAAGCCGTAGTACTGTAAAAAGTATGACCAATCATTTTAGCCGGCCCGGCTAAAATAACTGGATGGCCTACCTGCCTGTCAGCCTTCCATCTGTGCACAAACTTATCTCGTGCCCTCATTGGTCATGTGCGCGTTTGTGTGTTGGAGGAGGGGCTCTATAAGGAAGTGGCAGAATTTCTCCGGTTGTGTATTTTCAAATTCTAGCGATCTCGAGCCAGTTTCTCAAACGTACCTACCCTACCTTTAATGTCGCTATGTTGGATAGAGTAATAAAAGAAAAACTAACACGCAGTGATTAGTTAACCAGAATAGGTTTTGGGAAATGTAGCTAAGAATCTAGTCGAAAATACATGCATTACACCTTTAGTTCACACTCAAACATAGAGGATAGACAAGCAGTGGAGGATACAAATAAAATCCACCAATCTGTAATTAAACTAGATAAAATAAATCACTGCACTCAAACATGCCACTAGAGGGAGCTATTGTTTGTTGGTTAGGGGTGATGAGATCTAAGGCACACAGCAGAAAGGAGCTTGTGGTGAATTACATGGAGGTCATGTCGTTGAGGGCGTTGTCCAGCTCCTCGCTGATGGCCTTGAACTTCAGTTTCTGGGAGTACAGCTCGTCTATTGTGTGGCAATTATTTTTCAAGTGGCAGGGAAAGATTTGTAATAAAATTAGAACAGAACAGAAAAAATAATAAGAGTCAGAGAACAGAAGTCAAAAGGGAAAACACAAACAAGAGAAACTGAAAAGAAGGACAGAAATAGGGAGTGCAAATGGACCAGCTGCTGACGTTGTGTTAAATTCCTGAGGAGTCACTAAGAAACTGAATCACATGTGCCATGACCCTGTGAGGTCTGCCTGGGACGAGCTGGCCTTGAACAGTGACTACAACAGAGTGCCAAACAGCATCGTGGAGAGAAATGAAGCCGACATGAATAATATCACACGGGCATCAGCGCTTGGTATTTTCCCTCGATAGACAGTCCCTATATTTTATAACAAGATGACCTTTTTGTTGCTTTTTGAGAAGTAACTGCCTTGTACATCACAATTGCACTGTGACAAATACTCCCCTACATTTTGTGAAAACAACTTTTTGAAATGCGTAATAACGAAGTGGAAAAGATTCATACCCTCCAGGTCATCAATGCTCTTCTCAAGCTTGGCGACTGATCTCTCAGCGAACTCAGCACGAGTCTCAGCCTGAACAGAGACACACAGTCAAACATTAGCAATTCACATCAAGAAGTTAACATTACTAGCTACAGCCCTTCAGGGAATTAAATCACTTAGGTGCTGACAAAGAAAGCAGAATACATATACAGTATACGCTTAAGAAAAACAATATATACAGTATAGTTGACAATGAAATCCCTAGTTTGAAAGTTGCTCTATAGAATATAATAAGAAAATAGAAACACAGGATGGATTTCCAAGATAACTCACCTCCTTCAACTTGTCTGTGAGAATCTTGATCTCCTCCTCGTACTTGTCCTCCTTCTGCGAGTACTGTGGTTGCATACAAAGGCCAGAGTTAGGCAAATATACAAGACAGTTTAAAACACTTATAAAGGGTTTATAATGTGGGTTCATTGGAATGTATCCTCTTGGTCAGACATCCCTACCTTTTCTGCCTGGGCCTCCAGAGACTTCAGGTTGTTCTGTACGGTTCTCAGCTCCTCGTCGAGCTCAGAGCATTTTCTGTTGATGTATGGTTTGGTTCACAAGCAGAAGGATGCCATAAACAAACAGAAATCGGAATGAGTCTGAAATGGTATTGAAAGTTTTGACTTTATGAGGAATAGATGTGGGGGGGGGGTGTTTTTACCCTTCAGACATCTCAGCGCGCTCTTCTGTACGTTCCAAGTCACTCTCAATGATCACAAGCTTACGTGCCACCTGAAGTCAACACATGATACATCAGAAGGAGTTACATTTCTTCTGCTATTGTCACTGATCATTTAATGACTTAGTGCCAATAATATACATCCGGAAGAAAGTGTGAATTGACGTCAGCTGCTACATTGAAGTGAAAGAATGTAGAAATTGCTACGCTCAAATTTCAAAGTGCCGTGAATAGCGGAGAAACATGCCTCTTCGTATTTGCGGTCAGCTTCTTCTGCAATGTGTTTGGCCTCCTTCAGCTGGATCTCCTGCAACTCCATCTTCTCCTCGTCCTTCATGGCCCTGTTCTCAATGACCTTCATGCCTCTGAGGGAAAGAAAAAGTATCAAGGGCAAGTCATGGGCACCAAAGACACAACAGCAGGCCAATGTTATGATAATTCCCTTTTATAAGACTGACAAAGCTCAGTAGTTTGTCTTATAAACTGACCATGAAAATGCATTCTATTGTGCTTTTAAATTAAGTTTACCACCAAGCACCTAGTTAATTCAGTATCACGATGTTTAAGGAGGTGTGAATAGTGAAAAAAAGACTACATATATTTTGACGTACATCGGATGACAATGAATGATGGTTCGGATGGCTGGATGGATTACAGACAGTATTTTTTTTCTTATTCTGGTAGTGTTCAAAATGAGAGCAAATGATGACCGGGTGTGTATGCAACATAAACACAAAGTGCCAAGAGTGAGAAATGGGACTCTATTATGCTGTAAATACCTGCACACGTCACGCTTAAAGACAATACTTGTGTTTTCATCAAAATTCCACAGTTGTGCTTTTACATTTTTCCAGGAGTCCTATAATCAATTGTATATTAACAATTGAGAAATTGTCCTATTATGCAAAGCAAAACTACTTTTCTATCCCTGTGTTTAAATGTATTAGATCCTACTGATCATTATTGCAATTTTACTTCCAGCCACCAGTGGCAGCACTGAGGTGTAAGGAGTGGCACTCCTGCAGAGTGCATCAGGTGCATGATTTGATTTTTAGCATATAGTTTAGAAGAATACACCATTTCAGAAATACTGTCCTATCCATGCAACATTAGTCTTTTTCATAAAGAGTATACTTCACATACAGATACTTTTAAAGGCGATGAGGAAATTAAAATCTCATATAATGTAAGGGTAAATGTATATGAATAGTACAACAAACAGAGGGGCGTATCGTATGAGTGGACCAAGTGGGTCTGTTCTCCAGGTGAGGGTACCCACCTCTCGCTCTCATCAGCAGCCTTCTCAGCCTCCTCCAGCTTGGTCAGCGCCGTGGACAGACGCTCCTGAGCCCGGTCCAACTCCTCCTCAACCAGCTGGATACGTCTGTTCAGGGAAGCTACATCTGCCTCAGCCTAGGAGAGCAAAACAACAAGATCATAGAGTCAAATCAAGTTCATTAGTATAGCCCTAAATCAATTTCAATTGTATTCACAGGCCTACAACATCCAGCCCATCCCTTGCACTCCTATGGCAGCTTGGGCTGGGTCAGGAACAAACCCAAGGGAGGGATGCACCAGTGTGCACATTTTATTTGTTAAGCAAGTGGCATTTTGGATGGATCTACTTTTAATACATCTTCAAACCCCGTGTAAGAAGCACTTACATACACTTTTAGACTCATATATCCACCATTCTTCCCCTCTTGCCAGGCGAGCCTGCAATTCCCTGTGTTACAGTGATTAAGTTATCCTGTCCCAGACATAATTAGCAACAAAACATGGCTACAATTCAATGTTTTGGAAGTGGGGAAATAAGCTCCTTTGTGTTCAAACTAGCTTGTAGCCTGCTGCAGTTTTACAAAGAGAAGATTTCAGAGGTCCTGTGGTGCTGCTGCTGCAACATTAGCCTACTTGTTACAGGGCTGTTTGTTTATTCGGGACATACCGGGGTGGTGCCCTATCATCTACTGCTCATCGTGTGTTTGCATCCTACAGTACAGATAATTTCAAGCATGTCTACCTGCGATAGAGTATTAAACCGTCTGTCTGGGCCTTGCAGCCACGCTTTTTGACCAGATTTACGCCTAATGCCGTCGACAGTCTGGGGACTAATTGCCTTAAATGTAATAGCGGCTTACTGATTCCCTCGCACTCCTCTCCTGGTTCAGTTCCCTCTGAAGTCCCGCTGCACGGTCCTCCGCCACATCGGCCTGGTCCTGCAGCGACTTGATTTTCTTCTTCACAGCATCCAGAGAGCTCCCACCGGCCATTTTTGCTCTTTTTGTGTCAGCTAAGCTAGTTTTGGCTCACTCGGCTCTTTGCAGGCTGAACGCAGACACACACTCTTGGAGATGCGGCGCGTCTGATCCCTACCCCCACCGCCTTTAATCGACCGCTGATGAGGATTGGGACGTGCCACCAACCCCGGAAGTAACCGATTATTAACCCCACGCTTGTTCTACAATTTATCACATGAATACAAAAAACATATAATAATTGTGCTAATTTACAAAGTTTTATTCCTAATCAAATTCATGTAATTGTTCCTACTTTGTGTCACTTATGGTTAAAACTATCTTTGCGTGCATCCCCTACTGGTAATTTGAGCCAACCCTATCAAAATCCCAGCTCCAACCATTACACTGAAGATTTAGCAGCTAAACTAAAATGTTTACATGTAAAATTATAATAGTTTGAATAATGAACACAGCTTGAATCATAGTAGGCTTATTACTATTTTTGTTATTATTGTGATTATTTTTGTTTTTAATAGCATTATTATGAGTATCAGTGATGCAATGTAACTCAAAGTACTGTTTATCACATGAATAAATAAACATTTATGAATTTAGCTAATTTCCAATGTTTTTTTTCTAATTAAATTAATGTTATACTTTCCTACTTCTTGTCTAATTCATAAAGTGTTGTAATGAACCCTATTAAAATCCCAGCTCCAACCATTACACTGAAGATTCAGCAGTTAAGCTACAATTGTGTACATCATAGTATATGTAATCGTCTGATGAATTAACACAGCCTAATATAATCACAACACTACAAAAATATTATTAATAGTAATCATACTATAATAATAATAATTAGTATGATTAATAATATTTGTGTAGTATTGTGGTTATTATTGTTGTAATTAATAGTAGTATTATGAGTATCAGTGATGGAGTCTAACTAAAAGTACTGTCCTTAAGTAGGCCTACAGTTTTGCAGTACTTGTCCTTCACTGGAGTAGGGTCTATTTCTATTTTACGACCTTATTATTGATTTTAAATAACTACATTTGAAAGCTTACGTTATAGATTTAGATCATTTATACACATTTTAAATAAACAAATAATTATGATATATCTTTATATAGAAATTGTGTGCAGACACACACAAATGTTTGCATTGCAGTGCATTGATTTGTTTTGTTTTTTTGCAACTTGATTATGGAATTATTTTTATTTTTATGTTTTTGTTTGTGTATTTGTTTGTTTATAGTTAAGTTGTATTTAAGGGAATCTCGTATTATGCATCTGACATGTACTTTTGTAGTTGCCCTGTCATTCAATCAATCAATAAAGTTGTTGAATATTGTTTTTGTGCTGTTGTTTTCAACATTGTTGTGGCAGATTGTAACATATAATCAGGCCTATTTGGTGTAATATTTAAAGCAGTCAATAAAGAGGTATTTTCATCAAGGTAAGACATAATTGTGAGGTGTCAACTGAAACCAGAACAACCGCAAATCTGTCAGGGATTTCCTTGTAAAATGCCCCCCTTGAAACCCTACACTGGCTGAGATTTTATACAAATGAGTTGGGAACGCACCGGTAAGCCAGTGATGCTGGGACCTTACCATTTACCAAGAGCTACATTTAACCGTTCATTTTTTTTATCCTATTCAACCCACAAGTCTCCCATAATTACTTGTTGCAAAACTTAATAATTAGAGTAATATAGGGGGTTGTTAATCATATTCATGGGACCCAAGGGTCAAACCATTAGGCAATGAGTGACCCGATGGGGCTTCCCCACCAGTCAGGTACTGAAATGTAATTCCAAACTCACATCTGTGGCTTTCTTCTCAGCGAGCTCAAGTTTCTCCTGGGCGTCCTTCAGGGCCTCAGAGTACTTGTCCAACTCATCCTCAGTTGACTTCAGCTTCTTCTGCAGTGCTAACAGGTCATCCTCAAGCTTCATTGCAGAAAAAACAAGAGGAGATTTACTAACATGCAGACAGATTCATTATCCACACAGTCAATAACATTAAGTATGTGGCACCTGATGGTGTCTGTGAAAAATCTCTAAGGTGTGAAAACAATAAATGTTTGCTCTACATACTAAACACTTTTTAAACGAATTAGAAACCAATCAATCTAGGCTGTGAGAACATATTTATTATTAAAAATCACAGCTGAATCATAAGAAAGTCAAATGCAAAATTCCCACTTCATGCAGCTTAAATATTAAGTAAAACAATGGAAAAACGCAACCTTATGATTTCAATTTGTTTTTATTAATTCTTTAAGACACCCATATTATTCTTCAGTCCCAGGATATTTTACATGCAGGAATAACGAAGTGCTACTAGGCGCACCGTGCCATTAGCACCAGCGCGTAAAAGCACCGGTGCGCATTTCTCACTGGCTGCCGACCTGTTTGCTCTTGTCCTCGGCTGCTTTCTTGTCTGACTCGGCCTGTTCAGCTCTGTCCAAGGCGTTCTCCTTGTCGAGCTTGAGCATCTGCATCTTCTTCTTGATGGCATCCATGGCTGCTTATTGTCTGGGGTTTCCTCCACGCAAATAAAAAAACTAAATAAACTGAAAGAAATGATCGGAGCGTCTGAACCACACTGAACGCCAAGATGGAGTGCGAACTCGCCTGGGTTGTATGCGTCAAATATGCAGTTTGGCAAGCAGTGACTGGACATCCAATACTTTTTTTGAAACAAGTGCGGCTGTTTGTCAACGTGGTACCTGTCTTTTTATCTGGATCTCTTCAGTGATTCGCTCTTCCAAGAAATTGTACCACTTCTGTGACGGGGTACAGACGTCAGGAGGGCACTCCCCCCTCACACCAAGACCTCCCAGTCCACTCCTTTTTCTAACACCCCTCAAGTGACAGGCAGGAAGAAAAAAAGACAAGGCTCCAAAAAGTAGTATAACTTCTGAGGGGGATTATTGGAAGAAACATGCTGATACAGTTAATGTTCTTAGCCTGCTATCACCCAGGATGATAACCAAGAAAATACATGGGAGAAACTCAAATTAAACAATTACACCTGACTGTACCAACTTAAAGGATTTCAAACATTGCCTTAACAAATCATGTATTGAAACTTATTTAAACAGAGTTGCTACTGTTATACTTCCCCATTGATCACAGCTATTCATACAAAACAAACCCAGCTGATTGGATAAGCCCCTGTGAAAGCTCTTCTCCCTCTGTGAACTGTCATATTAGCCAGTAGGCTTGATTGTCTTCAAGGATAATTTCAGCCACTCCCTCACAGCATAACTGAACTTCCGAAAGAGCAATCAGATAGGCTTTGGTGCTTGTGGAGGTATATCAACAATTGTGTCCAGCTCCTCTCTCAGCTGATGCATGCCTGAGGGTTATATAGCAAAAGGACCACAGTGGATATATTGGCATGGAAGAGAGTGTGCAGAAGTTTGGCATTTCAACAGCCCTCGCCACCCCCCACTGCGTGATTGTTCATGGGGCCGCCGGCACCCCCGCAGCTGTCACACAACCTGTGAAGATGAAGAATCGTTGGGTAATAAAAGTGTATAGTCGACTTAAGTAATTCATTTCTTTACATGTTCAAGTAAACATTGAGAAGGAGAATCAGGCTTAATATAGATACATATAAATTAATGGATGAAAACAACATTAGAGGATAGAAATGACATACAAAGAATAAGATTACAGGGTTATGTAATACTTTATGAACACACTGACACTGAAAGTATTTTGTCATTCTCTAAAGAGCCATTGAAATCTACTACACTTCCTTTTTTACTTGTCTTCACTATTCTGCTTGTGTTTTGTTGAGTGCATAGTATGTTGTGATCTTACTGCTTTGACTCTCCACTCCCATCCTCACAAAAACAAGCAGTCAAAATAATAAATCACACCAAAGCACTATCCCCCAACTCCCTAAGTCTTGATCCATCATAGAAAGAATTGGATAAAGCTAATAAAAATGCTCATTGTTTTGAATCCAACAAATTGCTCGAAAAACGTTGTAGTTACATTTTGTTTCAAGATTATATTCTAAAAGGTTGGACAAGTTACATTTAAAAGCGTTTTGCATCACATTTTTTCCCTTTTCTTCTGCATTTTTTATGCTTATATTTGATTTCTTAGCCGCTCCAGTTGATATCCTTCCTATGAAGTTTTTTAAGGCCATCAGCTGTCACTGTGTTGTCATGCTGCTATGTGTTTTGTGGACTGTTAAGCAGCCAGCCAGGCATGCCAGTCATATACAGAGATCAGAGCGGCTCATGGCGCAATCCATGTCACCCTATCACCCTGGATACATGGAGAGATAGACATCCACACATTTTACCTTTCCAACAAGTAATGATTTACTCTGAGGGTCAGGGATTCAATTCAGCGGTCTCTTTTTATTTATTTAATCGTTTATTTGGCAGGGACAATGCACAGTAATGAACACTTAAAACATTAAAATGTATCAAGCGTAACAGTGCCAGATTTAGCTTTAAGCTAATTTGCATCCGCAGTCCCTCACATAAAACATTTAAGAAAATTACATTTGACAAACATGGCAAAAACAAAATACATGATATGCAAAAAGAGCAAGAGCAGCATACACAAGTATTTATGACATGGCAGTACAATGTAGCAGCAACGACATATAAAGTGCAAGAGATGATACAAGAGCTACCTAAAGTGCAGGAGGAGATACCCCTGTGTTAAAGTGCATTTAGCGGTGATTGCACGTCTGTTTGTTTCTCAACCATTCTTTGAGTTGACCTTTAAAGCTATTGAGAGTGGGACAATCCCGTATCTCAGTTGGGAGGCTGGGAATGAGCTGCCTTTAATGGAGAGGACATTTTGTCCGAAAGTGGTCCGTCTGCGGTGGACCTCACAGTCTCCTCTGGTTTCTGACCTAGTGCAGCGTCCAGTGGTTTTTTTTGTGGATGAATTCCCCTAAGGAAGGGGGGGCCAGTCCATGTAAACATTTATAAAAGAAACACGTACTTTTAAAAGACTTAGATATTAATTATATATTTTGAGTTCTCTATAGTGCAGGCAGAGGTATTTTTATGCAGTATGTTCTATCCTCTCCAGGACCATCACACATGGACAACATGTGTTCAGTATATTTGCGTGTAGAAATGACCAAGTAGTCGTCTTCATGGCTTCTTTAGAACTTTTTTATATCACATTTGTTTTATGGCAAGGAATTTGCCAATCCAAAATCTGAAGTATTTAAAAACAACCCCTTCTTTCAGATATGAGTAATTTGATTAAGCCGGTTTTAAAACACATTTCTTGTCATATATTTACACATCGTAATCATTATTTCTTTAATAATAAAAGTAATATAAATATTGGCAAAAAAAACACCTGCCTTTTAATTGGTCTATACAAAAATCAGTTCCTGTGTCTCAGATTTATACCAACAGGTGCCATATAGGAACAGTTCATAGTATTCCCAGAATTCCCATCATGCAGGAAATATGTGGCCCTGTTTGGCTTTTACAGCCTTTTGAAAATACACATGTGAAGTTTTTAAGACCTTTGAAATTTGATTCAATTAGTTGACCATTGTCTGTTGATGGCTGTGTATGCATTACTGATTTATTGTGGTGAAGAACTCATAAATCCAGACACAAAGTTCATTGTTTATGTGGTGTAACATAGCTCTGTTTGTGGTCTCTATTGTCAATGAGATACTGATACAATGCATGTTGTTGTTTTTAAAGCATTTTAGTTTGCAGATTGACAAGTGGAAGCACAGTTTAGTCTAACCTTGATGCTGCAGGGTGAAGTAAAAATATATGATTCTACACTGTATTTTAGTGAACATGTATTGTTTGAACTGTTTTAGGTAATCACAAACGGGTTTTGATAACTCACTTAGAATAGGAATGTTATTCTTACTTTCAAACTCACTGATCCAGAGATTCTGTGTCTCACACACCAACATCCTTCTTATCACCCCTAAAAGCAGATGTCGTCATTAAGTCGTTAAAAGACATCGTTAAATAGGTGGAGAAGAGTTTAAATGTCTGAAGGAGGATAGTTTAGGTGAAAATATCCTCTGGGAAAGGAATGTAGAGTAAGATAAGGTAAAGATAAACATTGACTTTTGACCTGAGGCCTGTACTACGAAGCTGGATTTTCGCTTAGCCGGCTAAATTCAGGGAAATCTCGGGCTTTCCGGTCCTACGACGCTGGTTCTCTTTTTAGCAGGCTAGATTTCCATGGTAACTTATGCTGAGCGGCAAACCTGCTCCGGAGCAGGTTAGGTTGCAGGCTAAGAGATCAACTCAGTGAAAGCACTGCCTGCTGACCAATCAGAGCTCCCTGTGCGGAGTTTAAAGCGATCAATTCATATGACAGGAGGAGAAAGGAAATACAGTTTAAACTGCCGTTGCAGGAAAGACGACCGGCCAAAATCAACTGACTGTGTGAACGTGAAAATTAATAGAATATCCCCTCCCATCTTCAGAGCAATCTGACTATTATAACATTAGCGTTAAGAAAGCTTACTTAAATATCTGCCACGACATAAGTAACCGGATCAGAGTAACATTAAGTACAGTCCGCGGCACTGTGAGTGCAGACGTAGATGTGTCCCATTATCATTCATATCATATCACATCATAATGTATCATATATTTCCTTATTTGAGTCAGCTGAGCCGTATCTGGCCGTGCAACACTCACAGTGTCACATACTGTATGCAGAAGCATTATTTTAAGCAACACATTAAGTTGACGAAACACTCGAGTCAAATGTAATTAAAGTCAGATCCACTCGTGTCTTGGACGGGGCAGTGATTTCATAAACCTGTTAATGTACGCATTCAAACACTTTTTCTTTTACCAGCTGTATTCACCTTGCAGGTGCAGCTATATGGCTTTTATCCTGGGTAAAGTGTTTAAGTCATGGATGTTTAAAGTTTAACTTCCTCATATTTGACTAATATTAAAGTTCACTTTTCATTCAGGAAGTATGACGCTGCGCTGTCAGTACGCTTCTCCGTGTTTGAGATTGGTCGAATGCTCCAAATACCACCCCTTTCATGTGAACGCGCACCTAACTAGATAGGACACGGCGGCTTGAGCGATCCACTTGATATCCAGCGTCGTAGTACAGTTTAGCGCCAGCGCGTATGTTTTGGATTACGCCAACCGGCTAACTCCAACATATCCAGGTTAAGTTGAACCAGCTTCGTAGTACAGGCCTCTGGTGTGGCTTGGGATCTCACTCTCTGGTCAGACCTCTGATTGAACCCGGCCAGAAGCGAATCCAGCCAGTCAGGGCACTTGGGGGAGGTGGTCAGTTTAAACAGCTCCTCCCCAGGGGCTCTCTAATTCGCTTGGGAGAAAAATGGGAAGGAAGACTCGACAAATCTCCGCCCCAAAGACAGATATGAATACTGATGTTTTGGAGTGTAAAAATGCTTTTGGGTTTGGTGAGTTGGCAGGTCCTGATAACTGTATCCGCATCGCATCACAAACCTGAAGTCCAATTTCTTTTTGGTTTGATGAGTGGTTTGATCCTGACGCATTTATCCGCATCGCATCACAAACCTGAAAGTCCGGAGTGCTCGAGTACTCTGTATAACTTGTATATGTGTTTGGTTTCCTACTAGAAGTAAACTCAGATAATTTGTTATAACTTTGATTCCGGTGTTTTCAATTCCTTTCTTAATTTAATAGAGATCCAGCCTCATCCAACGAACGGCGCGTAGCAGAAGTGTTCTGCTCCAACAAGGGTCAGACCAAAAAAACAAAGCTGTGTGCAGACCCTAACTCCTGAGAAACTCGCAGACAAAAATGGGAGTCAAAAGATGTTTAAACAGTGTATACTGTGCCCCTTTCTTTTAGATATGAGTAGCTCACCTGGTAGAGCTGGAGGCCCATGTATGGAGACTCAGTTCCCGTGTGGAGGACGGAGGAAGTGAATACTGGAATATTTCACTCCATCCTCTATAATTAAACGTCGATGTGGTACAATATTGGTGTGCCAAACTTTTGCTGTAATTCAACCTACCAGGAAGGATTAGACGTGCAGGGTTCAAATGTGAGATCACACAAACATAATTGATGTGATGATTATTTAGCCACTATGCACAACGCATTTCAGGCATAAACATTATGGATGAGGCGTCTTCTATCAGCAGCTTGTCCACGTTAAATCCAATGCCCTCATCCAGGGTTTTAACCATGTCCTTATCAGCCAAGTCAGTGTAACAGCCAGGGCCTCTTGTTAAAACTGAGATCCAGTAGATCTCCATAGATAATGTGAAAGTGTTACTGTTAGATTTAGATTTGGAAAAATGTCTGCAATGGCATGCCTAAGGAACCAACTCTAATAGAAAATGGCTGAAAAAAGGATTCCCGGTTTAAAAGCAGATTTAGTAGCAGCTGTGCGTCAGTAATTCACATTACCACCTCAAATTTTAGTGCCGGTCAAATTTAGCACAGCTCTCACTTCATAGCATGGACTCAATATAGCTCCAGGTTTAGTGCTGACTAAGAAATACCACCTTGTCTTGACACAGACACTTTAAGAGACTTTGTCCTCCTGCCAGCACGCACCTCTCTGTTATCCCTGGGACTGGAGAGCGTAGTAGTGGTAGCCTACTGCTGCTGAGACATTGGGAGAGGACAGTCAGAGTTTGATGTCTCATACTTTGTTTAATGAGCCGCATCTGTTAAATATTACTTTTTGTAATTTTATTACCCTTCATAAAGGTTTTAAAGCCGTTTTAAAGCCATCTCCAAACTGACAGCTAAACAATACTGGTGGAGAACCGATTCCTATGTTTGGGTATTGGACCTGGATATAATTCAAAAAGCAACCAAAATGTGTATTTGTCGTCAAAGACTGAAAACTGTTTGAACAAGTGTTTTGTATTAAGTCTTTGGTCCAATTTAAGATTGATTTTATTGAGGTAAAGTCCCATTTTTAAAAACGTTTTGAGAAGAGACTACATTGATATATTTTTTTAAATGAAGGAAAAAGGGTACAACTAAGTTTATATTACCCAAAATAAAGGACATTCAGATTCAGAACAGATGAGGACCTCAAACTGGAAGATAAGGTACCAGAAGCCGATGGGTTCAATTGGGGAATATTTGATCTCAAATTTGCAATAGTTTGTTAATAAACCGGAAAGTGATGATATGATGGCACATTTTAATCACACTTAGTGAACAAATATAACAGCCTTCTTTCTTTGCTCCACCAAAGGAAACATGACAAACAAAGTTACATTGAAATGCTTTATTTTCAGTGAATACAAAAAATAGTTTTGTCAAGGCCAGATAAATATCTTTTATATTGTATGTTATCACTCATCTTAATTGTAGTAACTTCATAATTGTATTTATGTTAAGGGGGGGAAACTCACAGAACACTTCAATTACTCCACATCATTGAAATGCGTCACAACATCTGAATGGTGACAGATACATCGAACCGTTCTCATCACATTTATCGTTCATCGAGGCTTAAAAGCAAAAGAAAAAAGCCAATCAATAAAATTCAGTGACTTCATAACAAATAATAAAGCAGTTGACAGACCAACATCTGCAGTCAATCGTGGTTTCGAAGCACTGTGGTACATGCCCATGGAATGCAGTACAAAAATGTGTTCATATATATGATACATACTTGTATATATATACTGATGGTACATTTTAAACAGCAACACATTGTTTTGACTGTCGGACAATTTCTATGTCATCCCCAAAGGCCTTATATGTGGCGGAGAGATTAAAAGAGGAGAATGGAGGGGATGCAGGTGAAAAGTATGTCAACAAGTGGGACAACAAATGTAAGAAAAAAAACCCACGGACATCATCCTACATTCCCAAATATCGGCTTGTCCAGTACCTTTTTTTGAGCAATGAGGTGAAGCTGTCTCTCGAGCAAACCAGACACTGTATGGGCTACGGACTAAGGCACTAAAAATAACACTACAGACTTCACTGATGAGTAGTGGACCCACCCTCCCCACCCTCACACACTCGCACACAAAATACAACGCCAGAAAACACCTCTGAATTCAGACCAAACTGTAAACAAAGAAAGAATGAGAAGTGACGGTGTGTCATAAGCCATTTGCTATGGCATACGGTCTTGTACGTGGAGGTAAGAGTCACTGTTAAAAGTTGAACTCTGCATAAACAAGAAGATGCATCCGAAGCACAAAGCCATGCATTTTCACAGCAGGACCTAATCTTACAATATATCGTACTTTAATATTGAAACACAGCCCAAATAAAGTAAGACGAGGGAACCCAACACTACAATCAAACTCGGTAAACGAAAAAGTTCTTCTATTGCAGCAAGTAGTATATTCAGTAATGTTGCACAGAGCACCCTTCAACTGAGACAATGATAGACACTGATGGATGAAAAGGAGATGAACTGCAGTGATTAGTTTTGCAGCCACGTCACTTTCACTCCACTTCATTTAAACATTAATTCTTAAAAGTTTGATTTGTTACAAGAAGCTTATTGCTTAGTCATTTTAAGATTTCAAATTGTGCTCCCGTCTGAATGTACAGAATTGGAGGTGGATGGACTAGAAATCAATCCCAGGCAGTGATCGGGTATTGCTGGAGAGAGTACTATAATCACTATCAGCTGAATAGAAAATATTTAGGGAAAGGGCAACAAACAGGGGGGGGGGGGGAAACCATCAGACAAAGCACAGAAAGGGCACGGCAATCGATTCAGAGGTATTTACAGGTTTTCTTATTTCACAAGATGTTGAAGCCAATCAACCTGCCTGGGTCCTGTAATCACATTTTCTATACTTAATTAAAATAAGCATTCAATTATACAAAATGCTCTTTTACAATATGACTACGTTTGCATGGTGTAATGGAAACCAGCACTGCCCCCTAAAGCACCGTCTGTGTTATTGCATCATGATCAAATTCTGTTTATACTGTATGAAGGTCTCAATACACACAAAGATAAAGGGAGATACAAATGTGTTTGAAGGATTGGGGATATTTCGTGAACACGGGCTCTGCTAGAAGTGGAATTGAGGTGAGACCCTTTCTGACCCCTGTCTGCTAAAAATACTCGGGAGTAATAAATAATCCTTCTATGGTAAGATGTCATCCTGTGGAGAAAAGCATTCGCGTGGTAAGGAAATGTAAAACATTCTACTGGAGTCTGAGAGGCCGCACACGGATATTCAAGAGCTTCGACAAACATGTGGAAGTTGGTGCACCTTAAAAAGACATTTAGCATGTAGAGCCCATGGATATCTGCTTTAAAAAATGACAAGAAAGAGAGCAACATATGCTTATTTCACTGTCTACTTTAAAGGACGATTAACAAAAACAACATGTTGGATTGAGAGTGTCGTCCTAGAAACAGCAATATGCATCCTACCTGTCTTCGGGTTAATGACCACTGAGTTGAAGTAAAGACACATCATGCTTTAAACAGACATTAAGGTGCCAAATTGGAGCATGAAATACAACATTCATACAATATCAGAGTACCGAGCTGAAATATCTTTGCTGCAGTTAAACGGCTATATCACATGAACGGCAATACAATCATTTCTTCATCTTCGAGGTTTATGGAGCGAGAGCGGCAATTTTAAATCAAAAACATGAGAGCATGAGAGATGTGCCGTTTGTCCCGAGCGTGTCACATTCTGGCTCAGATTGGATCAGTCAAAGTAGTTATGCTATACATGAGGACAAAAAACAGTTCTTCAGTCGAATCGCCACAATCTTCGTGTGGTTTTCAGAGAGTAGTCAGTTCCATACAGTAGTGTTTCAAACTTGTAGAAGTCCAGTTGGAGATCTTTCAATGCAGACTTGGGAATCACTAGTTTGTTAAAATCAGTCCCAACATATCTGAAGTCGCTGTGTTCCAGTGTGCCATCAAAGAGGACACAAACTCGCAACACAAACACGGAGTGCAAGTGCGAGTTTGAATATTTAGTTATCGTCCTCTCGTAGTTCGCTGGGCAGGAACTTGTACTGCTGCTGTCTGATCTGAGCCAGTTTCTTCCTGGCTTCCTCCAGCTCCCTCTCCTTTCTCAACATCTCCTCCTGGGCTGCAATGATCTAGACAGACACAAAATAAAAAACATGACATTTAAAGCATCTAGCAATTCAACTATAAGACATCTCTGTTAAACATATTTTAGATAGCTGAAACACCCATTCAGTCCACATTTTGTTCAACAGTATCACATGCTTTTCAAAACTATTCACACACTAATTTGTATCTCTTAATGCTTTCTCTGTGGTTGATGTGTATCTTTGTGTACATTTACTGTACAAGAGTGTGTTTGTGTGTGAGCGTGCAAGTGTATTAAGTTTTCATTCCCGTAGTCCTAAAGATACAAATTCAGTACTTGTAGGAGCACTGGATTGACAAAATAAATAATATTTTTCTGAGAAGATGAAGAGACTAGAGGAGCTAAAAATGAATCTATTAAAAGACAGCATGGCGAGGACAATTAAAAAATGTAAAACTTTAGAGATAATAATGAGAAACAATCTGAGTTAGTAAGGATGGACCATATCACTTACGTTTTGGATATGTATTAAGTGTGATCTAGTGCTAATGCATCTAAATGTCCATTTAACAAAACATATTAAAAATGCAATGGCAAAGAGATGTTTTCTGAAATGAACTCAGATCTCCCCTGATGTTCCTACCTGTGCTATTCCACCCACAAACTTGGTCTTGACCACCACGTTGTCCTCATCCGCTTTGTCAAACGCTGCCTTCTGAGCGGCTCGCACCAAGTTGTCTGATGCCTTCTTTACTGCATTCCCAGCAATCTGTTGAGGAAAAGAGCAGTGAGAACAGCCAATAGCAGCATCACATTTAAAATACAGTAAAACAATAAGACTGCCCCACAGCATGCAATGAGAACTAATATTTTTGAATTAAACATTTGGTTCAGCATGTGTCTGCACTGCACCTGTAGTCTCCTCATGGCCTCTGAGTCCTGGTCCGCCTTCACCTTACAGGCCACCAGCAGCTGGGCGGTGGAGGCCGCCACCTGTTTGGCCGAACAGATGAGCTTCTCCTCACTTGCGTGGCCTTGCACGGAGGCGTTGGCTGCCTCACACAGGTTGCTGGTTGCTGCTGCTACCATACGTGCCTGGAATAGAAAGAACATTCTGTTGAAAGAACTGTGCCTCAGGTTGTAAACTGCGTAAAAATGGAGCTTCCCTACACACTTACAGCAGAGATGAGCCCCTGGGACCACTGCCCGTCGTCCACAGCGTTGGCAGGGATCAGGCCCACTTTGCCCTGAGCCACCAGCTCCCTCTGGGCAGCCGAGGCGGATTTGACCAACGCGCTGGTGGCTGCAGCGATGGACTTGGCCGCCTCCAGGATCTGCTCCTCGAAGTTCAGCGACTCGTCTGCTTGCTGAGGGGGAAGAAGACAAAATCAGTCAGACAGAATCCTTGATAAACATGTTGTTTGTTAAATCATCGTGTACATGTGACTCTTGTCAACTCAATCTCAATGAGAGCATCTTCCCTATAAACATGGGGATAGAAAAAGTTGATTCATATGTCCCCATCTATACTGACACACTTGGGAGACTATGAAAAACAAAAGACGACTTGCAGAAGCGTCACATAGGCAGATACAGAGCATATCTTTAAGCATTTGATAAGAGGCTAGATGCAACTGAAGAAGAAGCGAGACTCTGCACAAAGATCAGTTTTATACATCCAATCACGCTCAAGTGTCCCTGGGTAAACCACTCGCACACTTTCACACACAAATCACATTCACACCACAAGTCTGTAGACAGAGCGGGACACTGTAGGAATATGTTTGATATATAGTTGGGACTGAATAACAACCTAATATATCAAACATATCAGACAGAGACCTGCAGAGAAGGCCTCCGGTGGTGGGGGCAGGCAGGGAAGTGGGGGGGGGGTAACTGGGAGCCAGAGGGACAGCTACAACTGACACAGATGGACACATGATTGGAGGAGGGGGAGGCGGGACATGGAGGATGTGCTGTATGGAGGATGGGGATATGGCTGAAGATTAATTCGTTTTTAATGAGGGAAGTATAAACTACAGGGATAAGACTCAACAACATCGATGAGTACTGAATGATTAGGGCCATGTGTATTTGATTTCTGATTTGAGTCAGAATTTTGAGGATGGGCTTGGAAAACCACTTATGGGTAAAAGGTGAGTGTCTGTGATTGTTATTAGAATTTCAAAGATTCTGGTGTGATCTTAAATCAAAGTCAAACAGAATGATATGATAATATGTAACAGAGAAGGGATGGCACAAGACACAGTGAACTCTTTCTGTGAATGTCAGGACAAGTATCATTTTGTTACTGTGGAAACACTCAACATTAAATAAAAAGCACAACAACAACATAGATCCTAACAGACAAGCAAAGGACATTGATTACCATAAAAAGGGTAATGATGCATAGCTCTGCTACAAAGGTTAAACTGACTATTTTAGATGCGGGACCTTTACTGTAATGGGAATTTGTTGTATAGGTACTTTTTATTACTACTGTAGGTCATTCTTAAGCCACTGGAAACTATCAAACAGTATATTAAGCAGTTCAACTTAGCCAAGGGCAGTAGTTACAATAACTCACTTGTGGAAAATATAGTTAACATACATAACTTCTTCAAAATGAGGCCACATTGCAGTAGTACGTATTATATTTATATATTTTTAATTATATTTTTCTAGTGATACATCTCTTGAATGAAACTTTGATTGATGGAGTGTTTTTTAATTTGTTTAATCTAAATTAATCTGTAATTACTTTTTTCTATTAATTTACATTAACACTTGTAAGGACAGCTGCGATAAACTATTTAATAACAAGTATTTCTTCTGTAGTTAGAAAAAGCCTCCAACACAGAGTTACTGGGTGTTTCTCAATGTCGAGTACGCTTGCTTGGTAGCACATGTCTTCCGAGCGTCTTGCTTCAGAAGCGAGGCAAGAATACTTCCTAGCATTCGGAAAACGAAGAGTGGAACAGGCGAGCAAGTGTGCGTCATATGAGAGGCCCCGCCTTACATTTTCCGCCACAGATTTGGGGAAATTGGTCCGTGCGCAAAGCATTGTGGGGATTTTAAGACCGCGGAGTCTACTCATGTGCAGCCTCGACATTTCTCCAAACGAAGTACGCCGGGCTCGGTAGAATTCCAAGTATGCTGGACATTGGAACAGTACTTCGGCGGCACTCGATGACGTAGTATGCTTGAAATAGTGGCTCTGGAGCAGCTTTACTCGAGATTGAGAAACACCCACAGTCTAGTATCAATAGAAGATGCACCACCATCTTCTTTCCTACTGCTCTGCAAATCTTTCTGAAACAACGCTAAATCGCTATCTCTTTCACTTCCCAAACACTGACAAAGTCTGTGTGAGTTATCGGTCATATGCCGTCATAAGTGCTTTGAGCACCAGGAAAAGAGCTATTTAAATAACATGTATTATTATTATTATTATAATAATAATGTCACCCACCTTGGGCTTGGCTCTGGGTTTGAGCTGCTCCAGCTTCTTCGCCGCCGCTTCGATGGACGCGGCGGCTCCGAGCAGCTCCGTCTCTGCGATCACGGTCGGATCCTCCGGGTCCACCCACTCGGAACCTGATGTATGCATGCACACACATAATTAAGACGTATATTTGAAAATATAATTTGAAATAAGCAGTGTGGTCAAAAGATCATGCCACAGAGACGACAACAACAACAACACTGTGATCACACGAAAAGTGCCGCACTGCATCCCATGCATAGCTGATGGAGGCCACAAACTGCCATTCACTGCAATGAAGATGGTGTTATTTTAAATGAAATGGCACATGAAACGGAGCGCGATGGTTGGAGCTGGCTCGAGAAGCGTGATAGCAGCTGGATCTCAACAGAAACAAATAAATGAATCAATGTTAGCGCCGAAAAGAGAAGGTGTCCAACAGCTCACAACTGGTGAAATAAGTCACAGTACAGAAAACAATGCTAACTTACCTCCATCTGTGGCAAGAGAAAGAGGACAGGGATATTACCAAAAGATTGTTTTAAAGAATGTTTCTCTGATATAAAGGAAATGTATTTCTCATAGATGTAGTAGCCTCCTACTGGGGATTATACACATGAGCTTGAGTGAATCAATGCAAGTTATTGAGTACATTAAACACTGTAATGGAGTCAGTGTGTGCAGAGTATTTGAGCCGTACCCTTCATGGCCTCGGCGCTCTGAATGAGCTCCGTCACGGCTCCTGCCACGCGCTTAGAGCACGCCGCCAGCTGCTGCTTCTGATCTGCAGTGGGCTTCTGCAGGACCTACACACACACACACACACACACACACACACACACACACACACACACACACACACACACACACACACACACAAAAACATGCATAAACACACAATAATGACAAAGTATTCTGCTTGAAAAGATTGGTTGCGTGCCAGAAACGAAGACTTGCTTTCCAATAATTAATGTAATTTATGAACGTGATGGTACTTTTTCATTCACCTTAACAGAATTGTATATGATTTAAATAAACCTCTCAAAGCCTACTGTATAAGAGCCTCAGTTGGTTTTCATCATTCAAAACCACCAAAACGTATCAAATGTTAACTCAATACATCACAACCTTTCTAAATATATCAAACATGTCAGGCAAATAAATGTATACAAATTATAAATTAAATGAAATTAAATTAATAAATGAATTAAATGATAAATTAATTGTACATTCTTTCACCCATTAAACGATGGCTTCTTGGGTTCGAATATATAATTAAAAGGTAATAATCAGATACAAATACGCAATGTATCTGATGAATGTCCTACAATGTGTATTTTCACATTTTAATTCCGACTCTTACTAGTGAGCGCCAAAAAGAGCAACAATCTCTTTCTTACTGTATGAAGATACTCATGACATAACCTACCATTAGCACTTGCTCCAGCAGGTCGATGTATCCGGTGGTACACTCTGACCCGTACGTCAGCGCTCTGTTCATCACCTCCTCACTGACCTCTGGGTGGTAGGCCGCTTGCTGAGAGACAGAAACACAAACACTCCAGATTCAACAGGACTGCTAAACTCTAAAGTATATATATTTGAGACATAATGAAACTACATTAAGACATTAAGACATTAATCACGTATGAATAGGTCTACTGGTAAAAAGGACCTTGCAGGTGTTGAGCATGTCTGAGATGGCCTTGCGGCTGAGGTTGGCGGTGTGGATGATGTCCTCCTGTCGGGCAGAGTTACCCGCGGCTACCGCTTTAGCAGTTGCCATGGTGATGCCTTTAGTCATGCGAATGAACTCCTCAGGTGTGGTCGTCTTGTTGGGAGCAACTCTGGATTGAAACACCTGGTGAACAAAAAGTGTGAGGATGTCATTTAGCTTAAAGCAAAAAGACAAAATATGAATGTTGAATCATCAAAGGCATCATTCAGCATCATTCATTCATATGTAATACAGGTGATACTGCATTACAGTTGTCCAACATCTAACAACCAAAGGCCCTTCATGTGTCCTTACCGTCAGTTCCTGTTTGATGCACTCGATGGTGGCCTCCAGTGCTCTGGTGCCCCGGGTGGCTTCGTCCTCTACAGCCTTCACGGTTTTCAGCAAAGACGTCACGTTGGTCACCATCACCTGAACACAAGAGAACAGAAAATAAGTAAATCGGAAATCGTCTTAGTTCATTCACATCAAACAGCATGATTATGTGGCAGGATGAGCAATTCAACCAAATTATGTTCATTAGAGTGAATGACCTGAAAACTGAAGTTATACTGATGTTGATATGCAAAAAATGACAGAGGCAAAAGCGACATATATCGACATATCGCCACATCCAGTCATGGTTTACACTGCAACACAACATCAATGTCTTACAGAAGCCCCCGTTAAAATGTCCACAGGTACATTGAGAGTCATATTTCATGGATATAAGCCCCTATTGTGTTTCTCTATGGTTTTAGTATTGCCTATTCCAGTGCTTCTCAAACTTTTTTCAGTAATGTACCCCCTTTGAAACATTTTCTCAGCCAAGTACCCCCTGACCGACCCCGAACATTTTTGATCGAAAAAGCCTATATAAATAATTACAATATAGTGATGTTCCCTCAGTGCGTGATTTATTAACTCCTTCATGAACGAATTACAACAAACAAAGGATATTTTCATTTTATGCATGAAAGAAAATAACGTTTTTATAAAACAGATTTTTCCAAGGAGTTTTTCAACTGAAGTAATATATGTTTAACAAACTAATGAACAAAATGATATATTGTGAAAAACTATAAAATACAATACACACATTTGACATGTTTATATGAGGACCCCCTTGATGGTTCTAGGAATATTTTATTTAAGATTGTGTTTTCTATTTAACTTATTGTACTAACATTATTTTTGTAATCATGCATGGTATTTTTTTTATTAACCTTTTTTTTTTAAATCTCACGTACCCCCTGCAGTACCCCAACGTACCCCAAGGGGTCCGCGTACCCCCATTTGAGAATCACTGGCCTATTCCTATGGGGTGTACTCCATCAAACTCACAGACAGGGGGCGCACTTCACCCATGAAGGAAAGCCCATATTCCCAACATTGAAGCTACAATATTTCAAATGGTTTTACAAGGTTTGTTTTAACTTCAGGTGCTAAAATTGCATGTGATTCAGGTGTTGATCATCTGAACGACTCCATGTCACACTGAGCTGCCACAGACTGTGAAACTGACTGTTTTCAACAAAAAAATATTTCACAGTTTGAGGTGATAATGAGCAGAGAGAGAATTGGTGGATTATGCGGTGATGGAAATTACAATGAATATGTGTTGAAGCCAAGGATCCAGGTGATTTATCTTGGGATACAAATATCCCAGTTTCCTGTTACTCAGAACATACATTTCCCAGCTATTGGATTAGTGAGACCAAGTCTTCAGTTAACATATGTGAACAGGTTTCATAATGACAGGAGGGGGGGCTGTGGCTGATTAATGTTCCAGCCCGAGGAGGAGGAGGAGGAGGATGAATTCTATGCATACATACAGAACAAGGCTCTGTGTGACTATTTTATTAGAATTCAGGATTTGTTGACCTTTTCCATATAACGAAATGAAAAAGAAGACAATAATCATCAGTGGCAAAAAGGAAAATAAAAGTAATTGTTGCCCCTAACACAAAAAAATTCAAACAACTTATTTCTTTATGGGATTTTAGACATAATAGGATTTTTTTTACATAGTTTAAGGACCGGCAGACTCACCTTGGCCGCGCCCTTCAGCTGGTACATCGATGGATCGTCTGCTGCCTTGCCCGCGGCACACTTGGTGGCACTAATGAGCTCCGCCAGCGCCTTGGCCACATCTTTGACAGCATTTATCAGAACCACCTAGAGAAAGGAAACACAGATAAAGAACAATTCATAACAACACAGTCCAGGAAACAGACACAACTCTGAAATGATATTGCCTTTCACGGCTCATTGTTTTCATATCTCTGATAACAGGCGTGGTGAATGAAAGAGAAACAGAGGGAAGAGAAACAAGATCTGCTGACCTGTGTCTCAGGGTCATCAGCGCCAATACTGGCAGCTCCCAGCTTCACCACATCTGTGAGCTGGGTGATGGTTTTGGCAGAAGACTTGGCGGCCTGAGCCAGCCTGTCCTGACCTGAAGCCGCGCCGGACACTAGCATCTTCGTGTCCTCCACGAGAGCCTTGGCCGTCTTCAAAATGTTTTCCCTGAGAGAGAAGAGGAGGAGGCAGGACATGAAGGAAGAGAGGAAGACAAGTGTTTTTCTTTGAATGACTGAAGCCCTGATGTTGGCCTTTTGCTCCTGCTGAAATACAATTGTCAATGTGCCTGAATCACAGTCATCAAAATGATAGCACATCTCTTTTCATAACAAAGACATCAAAGCTGGTGCAAACACAAGGAGGATAGTAAAGAGCATGGCAAAAGTCAAGTCCGTTATTTCTAGAAATTGACAAGAGAAATTGTAGGAAGCTGCTGCAGCTTCTTCTTGATTTCTGAGTGAGCTGCGTGACATCATTTGAGATATAAAGTGATTCCCTTTCATCGTGGCCCAGCAGGGCTTCTCTATATCTTGCTTTCATGATTCTTGAGTGAGGTACAGTAGAGTTTCACTAACAATTATCTGTAAGGATAGAAGTTAATCATTTTTGGTCATAGCTACATGTTATCTGCCAAGTCCTGTTAGATATGCATCCCTTTGAACTACTTTTGTTAAAATGATCATTCCTACTAAACTGTCAGGCACTGGATTAAAGAACCTTTTACTAAATATTGGCACAACAATGTGGAAATTAATGGGATATAAAAATGTTTCAGACTTTCCTTTTTTGCACCATGGGAATCCTGATTCCAAGGGGAGTCTTTAGTCTAAGACTAACATATGCAACACTTCCTCAATCTTTCAAACCCTGAGGGTAATTTGTAGTTTCTGACTCCAGAGACCTCCGGCCCTCCGTTCACCAGATACTATGTCATTCTGTCAGTTTCAGATGAAAGATAGGCAGAGGGAACATCTTGGTCCTCCACTCAAAGCTTGTACTTGTAGACTTACTGATGCCTTGAACAATTAGTATTAGTTTAGAGAGACAAATCTGGTCCTTTTCCAGCTCTAACCTGTGGTCAGCGAAGGACTCGTCATCCTCTGCGTTGAGTGTGCCGGCGGAGGCGAACATGATGGTGGTGTCCAGATCGGCGATGATGCCCGATACTGCGCTGGCGGCTGTGATGCAGGCCTGGGTGCCTTTGTTTCCTGCCTGGAGGGCGGAGAGCACCAAGGACACCTGAGGACACACACAGACAACACACCCTATAATCAGACAGGTGAGGAAGCGCAGGTATTTTGACCTCAGGCCGAGAGCACATTTTACAAACAGTTTGGACAGCAGCTGGATCAGAGTTATTTTATTTTGTACACAACTATTTTGTTAAGTAGTATTACTACCTTGTTCATTCAGAGTAGAGGTTATATTGTAGGCACCACACTGCAATAGATTTTGACGAACACTTCCACTTTGCATTGTTTATGCTATGCGTCTCCTTGAAACATGATACATAATGCATTCAACTGAGAAAGCCGAAACATGAGCCGCGAGGGGATATACAAAAATGTGCTGTGACAGCAAAATGCCATGTTGGTGTAGAGCAATGCACAACATCAGTCACTCCGTGAAATGAGTACGTGTCAAACTGCGTTCGACTGCATTTGTTTCCTCACAGATGCCAGAGAGGAGAATTGATTAGCTTATGTTTCCGGACCTTTGCTGCTAAAAAATAAATATAAAAGACATGACACTGAAACTTCTACAAGAAATAAATAGGTTAGGAGAAGGTTGACATGCTACAGAGACAACCCTGTTCTTGTCGTTATAAATTGCTTTATAAATTAAATGGTCATCATTTCAGTTTAGTATCTAAAGAATACTGGATAATCCCCACTACAAATATCTCTAGAGGAATTTGTTTACATTCACGGGTCACAGAGGTACGATGTTCCTGGACTGCTTGGGTTTGTTCGCTGCAACACTTTACCATGAATTATTAAAACAGTCCACAGAGTAATGTATTTGCCAAGGACTATGCATCAAACAGTCAGACTTTGAAGCTAAAGCATGCCAAAAGCAAATGGATTTTTCCAAAATGCATTAATTCAGGAGGGGTGAGCCAACGCACGATAGCACTACTAACCCTGTTATACTGTTGATACCATGACAGGACATCCCTTGGTGAGAAATATTCCTTTAGTATTTCAGTAAATACAATTAAGATAGGATATATATATTAGGGAAACTTAGATAATCAATATAGGATCAAAATAAACTAATAACACATTACCTGACAACTTAGTGCATTTCTCAATCAAACTGATTATATCTTTTAATGACAGGTAATACCTTCTCTGTGACTGCGCGGGCGCACTCGATGAGCTCTCGTTTGGTGAAGCCGTCGGAGGGAGTCATCTGCAGAGATCCTGCCTTCTGGATCAGGAAGATGCAGCCGTGTCCGAGCTCCTGCACTCGGTTCTTGATCTGGAAACCGATCTGAATAAAAAAAGAGAACACGGTACAATAAACAAATACTGAGCATTATCTTTATGCAAATATAAGAACTTCAGTTTGTACGAGACAAAGTAGATGAAAATGACATTTGTACTGTAAATGGTTTTACAGGAGATGTGTCTCAGATCTGGGTTTCTAAAGGAAGATAGATTTGATACTTTTTAAAGACTTTTTTAATGACCTTGCTAACAGAGGGTGTATTTAACAAAAACGTATGTGTTTAGTTGGTTCTGCTATCCTGTTGTGTGTGACATAAACACGAGAGGAATTAAGTAAATTACAATACAATTATAATAGATATCACCAATTATTGAATGATTTAAATTTGTCAAATTATGTCAAAAAATACATTTATATAATACATCCTGAGCATTTGTCAGTCCTTTAAAAGAATGATTTAAGACAGTGTAATACAAATGTAGGCCCAATTTTTAGATGAATGAATTCAATGCGGATTAAAGCTGTTTAATTTTTACACAAGTTTTACACGTTCTCTTCATAGTTTTTTTTACATGCATGCCAGTTTTTACTGTTAAATCGTATTATGGGGACACACAGATGATGCTCACCTCCTGTGGCTCAGCTGCGTAAGCGGCCAGTCGGCCCTGGACGGCCAGCTGACTGTAGTCCACGGTCACCTGAGAGGCCAGGCCCCCCAGCTCGTCTGGACATGTGACTGATTTGGTCATCTGAGGGATAAACACACACTCACAGTTATAACAAACAAACTGAAACACACACATGATAATATAATCACAAGTCACAGTCACATTTGCAAAACAGTCCAACAATGTAAACAATTATTCTGAAGGCTTACCATTTCCTGAGCAGTGACAGCAATAGCCTTCGAGTGTCTCACCATACTGGTCTGGTAATCTACGAAAGAGCCCTCGGGTTCAGGCGGTGTACCTTCATCCAGCTGAGGAGAGACACACACAAACAACAAACAGTTCAAATGAAATTACATTTTTTCATTTAACGCATGATTGGTTTGTCCTTCACAAAAGGTACAACCATCTTCAAACATAGAACACATAAATCATTCAGCTCTGAAATTGCAGTGACGTTCAAAATCGAATCTACCCTTCAATTATAATCATTCTACCAGGTGCGCAGGCAAACCAACATTAATTACATTTTACATTCAAATAAACACTCAGAATGAATGATAAGCACTCATTATAAATTATCCACCAAATCCAGTCTGTAATTACAGATTTAAAATAGCATCAGCTAGAAAAAAATATTAGATCATCAGTTTGCAGTGCAAACATTAGCTTTCTAGCATTTCTGCTAAATTAGACAGGGCACATGATGTGTGCTTAACCCGCGGAGTGAGATACAACACCCAAGAATCTGGACTAAGCGACCAACAGTTCATCAGAAAGCCTTTAAATCACTATTGCAGAGAGTGACCATAATGTCAATGGATTATCTAAGTTGATTATCTCCTTCTTAATCAACTACTGACATGCACAGGCACAAAACAATCATCATGTAAATCCAAAATGAAACATTCCCATTCATTATTCATGACGTCCCAAACAAAGGTGATGCTGTTCCCTGGTGACACACACCTAAGGAACTCAAACTACAAACCCTGCAATAAGTCTTTGTAAGAAACACGAGGAGGGATGTAATTAGCTGATGCTATATCTCTGTACTTTTGCTCTACATCAGGGGTGTCAAACTCAATTTCATCTCGGGCCACATTAGCATCATGGTTGCACTCAAAGGGCCAGTTTTATATACCGGTACATACAAAAAATACATATATAAATATTTAATAAAATAATGTATTATATTACATTATTGCCGTCTGCATTGGATTATTATTGGATAGGGTAATAACTTAATAAGTCTCTTCTGTGAGAATGTTACAAAATGATTTTTTTTTTAAAAGTCAGATTCTGAGAAAAAAATGAATATTTTGAAGAAAAAAAGTCAAATTCTAAGAAAAAATGAATATTTTGAAGAAAAAAAGTCAAATTCAGAGAAAAAAGGCATATTTTGAGATGCATTGTGGGACATGTAGTTTATGGGCAACGTGCTTCTGTAAATCGGCATGTAACCTTATAATAAACATATTATATTCTTTGCAAGCTCTTGTGGGGCCACATAAAAGGAAGTCACGGGCTGGATTTGTCGGCAGTCAGTTTCTCTCCGCTTCTATGGCTGGTGATTGTCATTATTATGTTAAACTGTAACTTTTTATGGTTCCAGACATCAATCAAAACATTACACACAGGAACAGGAAATCATAAGTAAAAGAATAAGAAAAAAGGTCAATCTTAATTAGAAAATGACAATCCCTTTCCTGTCAGCTTTCTTTAACTCCCCATTACCTTTAAACCAATGTATTCCCCTTTTCTCTCCACAGTATTTAGGCTGTTTCCATTGTGATTCTTGCCAAAACAAGATATCGTTTTGCTTAGCAATTCTACCAGCAATTCAGATTATGCTGAAATGCTAATGCGATATGTAAATGCAGGTAACCTCTGTCCTCTCTTCATTTCAGTAATTGGTGCAGCGAGAGGAGGAAAAGGAAAACCAGAAAATTAAGTGTGGGCTTTTCTGCTTGTTCTCCTGCTAGAGGGCGAGAGGATGGAGGACATGGCTGTCTGTAGTTGCTCTTGAATATTATTTAAAGAACCCGAGTGTGAATTAATTCTATAAATCCCAATCTTCGTATCCAGGCAATACTAAACCTATACTCTGGTATGTGCTTTAAACTCAAGCAGCAATTATCCTGTGAGACACAGCGTGCCCTGCAGCGCTCACCTTGGCCATGGCCTCCGCGATGGAGTCCACCATTCCTCCCACCATTCCCCCTTCACTGGCAGCCTCGTTCAGCGTCACCATGATATCATCCACCGCCTCCGTCATGAGCTGCGCTGCCTCCGCTATGGCATCGTGGGTATGGGAAGCCTGTGAAGTGTGACACAAGGCACAGGACACTTGTCAATTATTTATTAATAGTGCAAATATACTGCACCAAAATCCTGAGGAAAATTACTTGTTTGTGGAAAGATACTTGGCATAAACCTGATCTTTTTATACTGAAATGTCTGCATAATCCCTCCAGGGGTGCACAAACAAAATAGTTATACCTTTGGGTTTCCTCCGCCCTCCTTGGCAGCGTAGAGCATCTGCAGGGCGGACTCAGCCAGGGTCTTAGTTTGGTCCAGGAAAGTCATCTGTTGCTGGTGGTCCCTCAGCTTGGATGTGACCCCCACAGAGGCCCTGATCAGCGGGTCAAAGTAACGAGCCAGCTGGGTCACCTGAGGCAAAGGGGGAACGTTGTTAATGAGTAATGTGACAATTCCTTCTGAATTAACACCATCAATGATCATTTATAGAGAGTGAGAACATTGAGATATAGCTACTGTTTGAATAAAATACATTGAATATGAAAATACACTACACCATTGCATAAGCTGTAATTTGCAGATTGTTGTAATATAATGTACAATGAGCAAATTGTTACCATCTTATATAAATACTATTTGTATGTGTATTGGTTTATTGCACATTTTTATTCTTATGTTTATATAAATATTTTCATTGTATTATTCATTCTAAAAAAGAGCAACGGTCATTAAACCAAAATTCCCCCTGAGATAAATAAAGAATTCTGATTGTGAAACAGTAGGCAAAACATATATAAAATAGTATAATAAAACAGTAAGATATTATTGCTTAATAGATCATTCTCACACAATAGTCATTTTTTTCTTGATATCTGACTCAACCCATTAAAAAAGTATGAATGTGTAGCTCCGCAGCTGCAGTATGGAAGTAAGGTAATTAACTCCCTGCCCTATATACCTTATGTCCTAGTTGGGAAGCTTCGCCTCTGGCAGCAGTGGAAACGGGGTCAATTAAGTAGCCAATTTCTTGCACCGTGGACGTCAGCTGCTCTTGTAGTGCCTGAAGAGAGGGGGAAAAAAGAAATTGGTTTGTATCTTGCTTTTTAATGGAAGACAGAGGTTGATCCAAATGAGTCAGCTGCTGAGAAACACCAGCAGGGAGATATAAAGTACAGATACTTGCCCCAAACCACTCAAGCTTTTTATTGTGAGCTTAGACTCTGCATAAGGCAACACAACTTTTCTAAAAGATACTAAATCCTTTATTTTTGTCAAATGAGGCGCTTGTGACCTAGAATGGGCAGAAATGTAATTAAAGCCACCAATAAAAGATCCATAATTTAAAAGCGAGACAGAAATAGCAACATGAGGACTCAAACTGAAAACAAAATGGGCTATAATGATAACCAACCAGCCAGCAAAGGATGAACAAATTGAGAGACATGCAAACAGAGAAAGATAGAGAAAGATACAGGAAGTCGTCTGTGGAAGATGTCAAGTTATTTTCTGATCGTTGCTTACCTCCAGTGAGATGTCGTCCCTGCTGGCTAAGTTCTGGCTGACTGCTGCGAGGGAAGCCTGCTCAATGTCCCGGATACATTTGTTGATGTTATCAATGGACGAGTCGCACTCCCGCTGGCCTGGGGCCTTGTCCCTGAGAATAAAACGGGTACAGGAAAAGAAGAGAAACAGAAATAAATAAAATGGTTGATGCATGAATGAGAAAGAGGTTGAAGGATGATGTATTGGGGGGAAATAAGACAGAAAGGACATATCGGAGGACAGGAAGAGAGAGAGAATAAGTGTTAACATAACTGAGATTTATTAAAAACATGGACGGGTTTCAGGATGTCTATTTAACATATTCTCTTCTGGCTCCCTCATCTCATTGCTGCTCGAGTCACAGAGCTGAAATGTGGCCTGTAGGGTGTTGTCACAACTCAAGCTGGGCAGCCAAATGAGCTTTGAAGCCTCCGAGTGGTGTGAGGCTCCGGCCACATGGGCAGAATAACTTTAGTTAAACATCCATTTTAATGCATAGCGGCACACTGAAGGTAAAAACTAAAATAAAGCCTCACCTACTGTATGCAAGTAATGAGACTCAACAAGTTGGGAGGTTGAACCTTTCCTTGATGTAGTCCAATCCTATTAGTGTTCTTTGGTAGACTCATACAACTCAATTTGCAGGGTGACTATGATAAAGGCATCAGAATTTGAGTTGCTAAGCTGCCATGTGAATGCGAAAGTGCAGATGATCTAAGCCAAGCAGCAACCTTAAAACTCAGTGGGTTTGACACTGGGAATTTGTTCCTCATGGGCATCAGTTTTGTTCTGACCAAGGTCTGGTACCAAAGGTGTGAAAGAGGAGATTACAAATTAAAGCTGAGGAGGAATAAGAACAACCATTTGTCACGCCTTGGTACAGAATTTGGGCATCCTTTGTCTGGGACACTGAGCTAGTCTCTCAGGCGTTTTATATGACAATGTAAGAATACTTGAATGAATCAAAACTTAAATTATAATTTCTACCTTGAATGATCCCCTATGTGAAGCCAGTGATAACTACATCACTGCAGGGAAACAGAGAAGAGTTGTGTAGAGAGAGGGTAAGGGTTTAAAATGATGATGTTTCAGTAACTTCATGACTACAGGAAGTCACTGCCATCAGCTGAGAAATAGTCCGTCACACATTCACTTGTGTACAGATGTTTGTGCTAAGCTAACCGGCTGTAAGCACATCCTTAATTTGTACTGACATTGTAGTGGTAACAATAATGTTAAGTATTTCTCTAAGGTTTGACCTTCTGACACGATATTTAGTCACAAGACATTTTCTCTCACTGACCTTATGGCTGTGATGAGAGCCTTGATGGAGTCGGACACGGTGCGGGAGTGACCGGCCAGAACAGACCAAGTGGGCGGGTCTTTGGGGTTGATAACTAATAAGCGTGCAGTCTTGAGGAGATAGGTGGAGCTGTCAAGCATGGAGCGTGCTGATTGGAGGATGGGCTCCTGTGCATCAAAGCCCTACAGAAAAACAAAGTGAACTTTAGCAAGAATATAGAGAAGTAGTAGTATGTATTGCATTATCCTGTATTTATTTTCAGCCTATTCCACTATTTGTATAACACAATTTATCTAAAAATGAATCCATTAGCTGTGCATGAATACTTCAAACTGTAATGTTCACATGGCCGTACCTCGTTGCTGATTTGAGCTGGGATGCTGGCAAACTCTGGATTTGAAGCAAACGTTGTCAGGTTTTCAACAGCCTCGATTAGTGGAGCCGTAGCGAATCGACACTTTCCCCTGTTCTCATCAGAGAAATCTCCATCTAAAGCCTGCACAGTGAGGGAGATAAAACATACAAGTGCAACAAATCTGATTGAATTCCAGTGCCTATCAAGTTGTTTTACCCAAGAGATGAGAATTAAACAAATCATTGACAGCAGTTTGACAGAAATTATCTGTGGGGAAAAAATATGAGCCTCCTACTTCACAATGTACATTATCGACACAGCTAAACCCACTTTGGGAGCCAATTAGGGACAGAGTTAACATTTGATAAGACTGCCAAAATAATTCCTACCTTGATGGTTTTGACCAAGTTGGCAGTGCTGTTGGCAACCTCCTTGGCAGACTGCACAAAGTGCCTCTTGGCGACGGGGTTGGTCGTCCTGGAGGACGCCAGGCGGCAGGCGTTGCACAGTGCCGAGGTGTGCTTAGCAACAATAGTGGCTGAAGAGAGCACCTGCCATATAATAAAACACCAACATGTCAAATAAGAGCTAGATTTTTTTATATCATACAAAGCCTGTTGAAAGTCCAGCACTTGTACAGTACCACCGCAGTTTGGATGTGCTTAAGGGTATTTGCCACTTTACTATTATGCACCTGCTGTTCTGGTATAGACTGCTGAGCCTGAAGTGACTCATGAGAGAACGCTGGTGGAGGGATATAATTAGGCCATTGGTCTCCATTAAAAGAATGTTATTGAAGAAAATAGAGGTGATAACGAGGTAAATATTGGATTTTCAGCCCACCTGCTGCGAAGGCGTTTGGCTTCACAGTCAGACACTTCTGCAACAGGTACTTTCATAGAATATACAATTTGGGGGGCTATAAAAAGATTTTCAGCTACAATACTAACAAGAGAAAATCTATTATAGTGCCAGTTTTTGTGTGTGTGTGCAGGAAACTGAAAAATGCTGCATAAAGAGAACAATGCAAGTGCCTGTACCTGTGATGGACTGCTGCCTGGGTCCACAAGATTCTGACAGGCCATCTGGATTGCCTGGTTGGCCTTGGCAAACTGGATGGGATCAACCAATCCCTGGTGCCCTGCCTGACTGTTGGGATCAGACACACCCACCAGGTAGGAGGCCTGTGAGGTAAAAAAACAAACTCCTTTCATCAGCAAGCACCAGCACTGCCAATGCCAACAAGAAAAGGCAATATGATTTAAAAGCTCCTGTGGTGGGAGAGCGGTTTCTCCTCATTGTGTACCTGTCCCGCAGCTTCAGTGAGCCCACACAGGGCTCTTGAGGCTGATCCTACACAGTCTCCAAACGACAGCACATCTCCAGTCTTGCAGTTCTGAGAAATACCTGCCATGGACTCTCCCAGGACCTGAACAGAACAAATGAGCGGCAGAACAAAGAGATTCATGTTTAGGATGCTAAGCTCTGTGTGTGCACGGTGCTCGGTGTTTGATCACTGGGCTGTTTGATTTGCAGACCTACCTTGGAGTTCTCCATCACACTCTCGATGCAGTCGAAGTAAGAGAGGTCACTGACCGGCTCGCTGGGATTGTCCAGCATTCCTCTAACAGCCTGGGAGAGGAAGCCACATCAGAGAGTTAGAAAACACTACTCATACTCAGATGGAACATGCTAAATAAACCTAGATTAGAACTCATTAAATCAGTCCTTTGTTGATAGGGTTGTGTATTGTCCCTGTTGTAAAGTTGTGTTTACCTCCAGCTCTCTCAGGGCGTTGTCACACTCGTTCTGGCCGGGAGCCTGCTGTGTACACAGCGTGATCAGCTGGTTGATGCTGTCAGTCACTGCCCTGAAAACAAACCAACAAGCAGACAAATTCAGTCCCGAGTCATTGAATGTGACCGGGAATAAGTGTTTTTGGATATATAGGATTTGACATGTGTGGTTTACTGTAGGTGTCAACCAAATCAAACCAAACAGCTAAAACAATAAATAAAATTACTATCTACTTAAAGGTAGGGTAGGTAAGTTTGAGAAACCGGCTCGAGATACACTTTTTGTTATATTCCATGGAATGCTCTTAACATCCCGATAGCAATTAATATCTTAAGTGCTTTGACAAAAAATCCATACAAATATGTCATCTGTGGAAGCCGTAGTACTGTAAAAAGTACGACCAATTATTTTAGCCGGCCCGGCTAAAATAACTGGATGGCCTACCTGCCTGTCAGCCTTCCATCTGTGCACAAACTTATCTCGTGCACTCATTGGTCATGTGCGCGTTCGTGTGTGTTGGAGGAGGGGCTCTGTAAGGAAGTGGCAGATTTTCTCCGGTTGTGTATTTTCAAATTCTAGCGATCTCGAGCCGGTTTCTCAAACTTACCTACCCTACCTTTAATGGACAAGCCTTATAATGTTAGGGAAAACCCAGCTGTGTATTCTTTCATCACATTGTCAATATACTGTCAATGAGTGTGTAACGGTATTATTGAGTGTATGTACGTGTGTATGCGGCTAGTTGTTTTACCTTGCAGCAGCAGCTAGCAGGTTCTTTGCGTTAGCCGCTGCTGGGTCTACAGACAGACTCTTAGCTGCCAGCAGCAGCTTGCTGGAAGCCATGGAGATGTTCTTCAGGTTACCAATCACCTGCACCTGGTCGTCCTTTTTCTACAAAGACACATCACATTAATACACCATTAAATACACATAAACATGTGCAAATATATTCCAATAATCTAAAATCCTTTTTTTTTGACCACATGCAGGTCTGAGTGGTAATTTGTGAATTGATATACATTTCAGAGAGACTTTTACAGGATGTGTATTTTGTAAATTGTGTCATTTTAATATTTTCATTATGCATGCTTCTTATGTAACATTAAGCTGTCTTTGGCTCCTTTCTGCTGTAACAATGTACATTTCCCCTCTGTGGGACTAATAAAGGTATTCTGATTCTGATTTTATAGTCCTTTCAAAACCACCAACAGGACCGACCTGAGTGTGCCCGGCCATCTCTATCCCAGCATCCAGGAACTCATCAAAGTCTTCGCTGAACTTGCCAGACGCCACGGCCAGCTGGCTGCTGGAGCCTCTGGAGGCGTGCACCACATCTCCTGCCGACTGGTTGAGCTCTGCCGCCGTGTAGCTCAGCCCGCTCTGGGCCGACTGAAAGGTCCTGGAGGCTGGAGGGATCTGAACGGAGGACAAAGAGAAGTTCAGGATAAATGAAAGATACTTAACTGTAGTTAAAAGAATAACAAAACAAGTATGGATGCAACAGCAATCACAATGACAGAGCATTGTGTATATGGTGGACAAACACAAATTAACAATTCATAAAATACCATATCTAAGTCCCATTCAATGTTTACAATAATGCTGTTTAAAACATTTGATGTGACTGAAAGTTGTATGCTTGGTTAAACACTTTCCCTTTTTGTCGACTATAATCATTTAGTAATCTCTTCCTGCTGTGCCATACGCTCTTGGAAATAGCAAACAATTGTGAAATAATGCCTGAATCTTTTCTTTTGAGCAGTCAGTTTTGCTTTTAACATCTACGTATCATTAGTCTCGATACATTCCTCACTGTGTGGCAGTTAAAGACACACACATGATGCTAATTTTGGTGGCAGAGGCCTGCTGAGTCACAGATTAAACTCACAGTTTCAATGAGCAGCTTCTTGCTGGCCTCTCCGATGCTCTTGAGAGCCATGTCTACATCCTTCTGGCCTGGCAGACAGTTGACGCAGTTATTCAGGGAGTGAGACACAGCCTTGGCCACCTGGAACAAACAGAGGGGTGACAGTAGACTGGGTTGGATGGTGTAATCTGAACACACACAATCTGAATGTATAATGCTGATGAGCAAGGCAGTACTGCAGAAAACAGATATCCACTCTTTTCTTCTTTGTTTAAGAAACATCAACAAATGTGTGTGTATGGAGGGGGGTTTATGTGTGTATCCTTTTGCCAACAAATCACAACTGGAGTCACATCACAGAGGCTAAAACAGAAGCGCATGACAACAGTTGAAGCAAATAGGAGGCACAGGCTTCTTAACTTAATCTTACATAAGTAGTATTTCATAAGGGTGCTGTGTCAAGATGAAACAAAAACAGCCTCATTTCTGTTTGCTCTCGCTTTTTAGAAAATAGAAAATACGTGGCGGACCAGACATAAATAACCAAAATACTTTGCCTATAAATATGCCACCAGGTTTATTATACGAGTCCCCTGCTGTATTTGACAGGTGTTCACTTTCATGTATTTATAAGCAGATGGAGACTTTCATCTGGCTCAGATTTTGTACATAACAACATTTTTAGTTCATAACAACATTTTTAGTTCAAAGTATTGAGTGATGGAGGCCAAAATAACTGACTTTACTTTAATGTTGATCAATCATTTCCATGTATAACACAGACAATTCAATAAATTATGTAAACATTTTCAGTTAATTAAAAAACAGTCTGATTCAGTCCAAATACAATATCATACTAGAGTTCTGATTAAAGTGAAGTGTGTCGTTAATTAAATTAAGCAACTTGTATAACACAACATAGTGAAAAATATGACCTGAATTACAGACTGGCTGAAGGACATGATGAGGTTAGATTTAGTGAAGAATGACAGATCAATAACAAGTGAATCATTGCTTGTATACCACACTGTCATGGACTCACAAGTTTTCGAATACATTTGAGTTTTTGACAACCTGCATTCTGTCTTTGCAATGATATTTGATTGCGTTTGCTTCAGGGCACAAGCACTATAGAAATAAATAAAAGACAGAGCCTTCCAGCCTGTTTCAAACCTGCAGACCAGACTCTAGGGTTCCCGCCTTCAGGTTCCTCGGCACACACATTGCTGAAGATCTATCCTGTTCTATCAACACCACAACATCTGTGAAAAAGGCCCAGCAGCGACTCCACTTCCTGAGGATCCTCAGGAAAAACAACCTGGAGGAGAAGCTTCTGGTGTCTTTCTACCGCTGCTCCATAGAGAGTGTGCTGGCATATTGCCTAACCACGTGGTGTGCCAGCTGCTCAGAAAAGGACAGGAAAGCCCTTCGGAGGGTCATCAACACAGCCCAGAAGGTCATCGGCTGCTCACTGCCTTCTCTGGAGGAACTCTTCAGCCAACCTCAACAGAGCATAATTGCATTCTCTTGACACCCTGGACACTTCCTGTTTGCTCTTCTGCCCCCGGGTAGACGCTACAGGTCAATTAAATCAAGGACAAACCGACTGAAAAACAGTTTCTACCCCAGAGCCATACGAGAACTGAACACCGTCAAGCGCTGAACTAGCACACACACAGTAACAATTTGCAACTGCACTACTTTTTAATAGTTTTATTAATTTATTAACTGATCGACATCTGAGATGCCAAATATCATCCCTGTGTTTTTTATATTGTAAACTGTATTTAAATGATGTGCGGGCATGTATGCATGTTGGTATGGATGTGTGAGCATATGTTTATGTGTGTATATGTTTATATAGATATATATTTGTTCGTATTATGTGGAAATGCACTGCGAGGATTGCTTTTTCAAATTTGTTGTACCTTGTGCGATGACAATAAAGGAATTCTATTCTATCTATTCTATACCTGCGTTGATCCTGAACCATCTCACCTGTGCCAGCCTTTGCTGACTCTCAGCGTCTCCGGGGGAAATGAGCGCCTGCTTGGCTTCATGAATGAGAAGCGCCGAGCCCTCCATAACATCCTGAGCAGAGTCCAGCATGGCGGCCGCAGCATGAGGGTCTGAGGTGGAGGCAGCGACGCCCCGGGCCGCCTGGGCGAGGGTCCTCAGGGCCTGAGCCGTCTCCCTGGCTGCTACTCCTGCACATTGGATCAGAGGAAACAGAGAGTTCAGATGTGAAAGCAACAACTATGATCAGAACGTATCTCAGAGATCATAGATCATGTTGTGATGAGATAATGTCATTAACAAATACTCATTTCAAAATCTCTTAAAAACTAACATTTTATCTGCGTGTAGGGGATTTTCTCTGACGGTACAAATGCGTCGCAACAAGAAAATGAGACAAACAATAATTTGGTTCAAGAGGCCGTTTGCCTCGAAGGCAGGAATCAAGATTTGACATTTCATTTACAACACATCAGTGGGATGGGATACAACAAATGGAATTAAGATAAATGATATGCAGCACTTAACAAGATTACTTAATAAACATAAAGCATGTTCCAGGCGATAAGAGCTTTCTAATCAGGATCTATTTGCTGTAGTTCAACCAATGACACTAAAGGTGTGATGACAAGTCTTTGAAAAAAGATTTTACAACTCATGAGAACAAAAATAGCAAGGTTTGGTACGTTTAAAAAGTATCTTACCCTACTGCATCACACAAAGCAGCCTGTATGTAGAGCACTAGGTGATCTCAGTGCAACAGACTGTATTTTAATTAATTGGATTAATTGGTAATTGGATTACTCAATCATATTTAGAGTCATGTGAACATGAGAAAGAAGATTGGTGAACAGTGTGTACTATGATAGTATGAAAAGAATAATATCAATTCTGAAAACTGTTTGTCGCAGAGAAGCAGATGAAGCGCATCATATGACCTAAATATCAAGAAATATGTTTATCTGAAAACAAGATTATATTGACCTTTGCTCCTTGGTAGATGTTTACTTATTGCCAAAGAATCAGTATGTCAGCAGTACCAACCTGTGTAGTGTTCATTTCCTTGAGCAGCACAGGTGAGCAGCTGAGCCATGGAGGACCCCACCGACTTAGAGGTGCTGCCCAGATCCTGAGCACACTTCTCCAACTAAAGCAGAGGACAATGTGAATGTAAGCAATTCAATATCATGCCGCGTCACAAAACTGTTAGACCCTGCTTCAGGAGTGAGTGCTGGTGGTCAATATCTTTTGTATAACTGGATTGAACGCAATGCAATGTCGGGTTGGAAGATTGAATCAACGTTACAGGTCTATTAAACAACGTCTCTTACTGATTCTCCAGGCAGTGGCTTCAGTTGGGCGTTCATGGCCGCCTGCATGGCGTCCTGCAGCTCGCTCCTCAGGGTCTGGATGGCAGTGAGCGCAGAGTCGATCTCCATGGGGCCGCACGCTTCATGAGCCTAGATTTGTAATAAAGGAAGTCACTCACAATTGTGTACTAACATGGGTTACTACTTGTGTTTTGCAAAGAGTGATCCTTTAAAAATATATATATTTTGTTGTACTTTTCAGCTAGTTTTAAATGCAAATCTCAGGTACAGAAAACATACACTTGAGGAAATTGCATTGAACTACAGGTAAACTGATGTGACTTACAAAGCTTTTAGTACAGCAATATATACACTTCAGTGCATGTGATATGGACTAGGCGTTAAATACAATTGCATTTTGATAATACCTTTGCCCATGGAACGACACATAGTATCTCTGGAATGATGTATTTGCATGTCAAATACAGTGACTTCCAGCATGCACTAACAGCCCTTTATGCCTGTGTGTCTGTGCTCTACCTTCTGTGCAGACGTCCTCAGCTCAGCCAGGCAAGTGGCCAGGTTCTTGGCACACTGACCCAGTTGCATTGCTGCAGCCTGATCCGTCACCGTGGGAACGGATGACTTGGCCGAGGTCACCATCTTACTACCAGGCTGCAGAGGGGAAAAGGAAAATAATACTTAAAATCTTCAATAAAAACTATATTTTTCCTTAGAGCATTTAGTAACAGCCTAAACAATAAAAAGTGGCTCTGAGCAACAGAGAGGAACAAAGGTTAAATTGTGTGTTGGTATTTGTGGAGACCCAACGCTCATCCATCAGCTGTAAAAGTGGGACTGGGGCTTTAAACACATGATCCCACCACACCGCTGCTCCTTTAACTGCCTGCTTACTCCAAAAAGAGGTTACAGGCCTATTTTCAAAGGATCCCCACATGACAGGAGCACTATTTTTACTCTGTGTAGCCTGGTTCCTAATCTAGGACTGAAACTACTTAAATTGAGTATGTGGACATAACGCTTTAACAAGCTCCTCTCCAGCAGAGGAGAGAAATGGTGATGCAATAGTGTATGTGTCTCTGTATGTGTGTGTATATGAGTGTGTAGGTGTGTACTGCACCTGTAAAAAGTTTTGGCTTGCAATGATGAGTGCCAGCTGTGCACTGCGGTCCTCTGGTTTGGCCTGACTGCCGCGCACCCCCTGGACAAGTTGGGGGATGTGGTCTGCGACTGCCTATTCAAAAACACACATGCAAATACACAGGCTTAATGTAAGTTCTGTCCAAAATAGAGAGTTTACAGTGCAGCTTAACATTTCTCTAAAATTATTTTATAGAAATCATAAAGCAAGCAATGTTCACAGTATGCACATAGAATTTTCTTTTCAAAGTCTTAATTTTAGTGGTAAAAATCAAGTAAACAAAACTTAAATGGCACTCTTCTGTCCTCACCTTGCAGCTCTGCACCAGCTGCTGGTGAGCAGACGTGTTCTTGTTGGAGGCGGCAGCGTTCTGAGCCGCAGCGATGGTCTGCGTGGCTGCAGCGGCTGCTTGCTTGGCAGCATTCTGAGGAATACAAAGACTCGTAAAATATTCCATATGTAAAAAACAAGGTTAAACAGTAAAGACTTCTAAAGTCACATTTGAGTTTTTCAATCTGGATGTTCAAAGAATCTCCTGTGGAGTTGATGCTATGATGGACTTACAAACAACTCCTGGTGTTTATCTACATGACTTTGTTTGAAAAAATTATTAAACAATGCAATGCTGCTCTGCTTTTTAGTGTATATACACAGCATAAAGCAAGTTCAATTTAAGTTCTTACACTTATTTCAAAATATATTTACAAAACTAATACATTAATTATTGTGTAGAACTAATATCATTAAGAAAAGTATTTGTAATGGCACACCATAAACTATAAAAATACAAGAGACTTGTCAAATGCCTTGAAATTCATCGAGTTGATATTTTAGTTTGAAGTCAAATTGAGTCAAACAACCCTGATCCACTTAATAAATGATTACTGCTGTTCCTATTTCAGGACCATTTACAATGAGTAACCTTAATCTGTCTAAAACCTTTACATATTGTTGAAAGACTTGCTGGTGAAATCAACATCTAAAGCTGGCTGAACTTTGGTGCCAAGTGGGGGCAACACTCAGTGCTTTATAGAGATGGTGACATTTAGGATTGGTCTTTTTTAAATGTCATGTCTTTTTACGCACATAAGACTGCATAAAATCCAGGCAATGAAAAAATAAGAAAAAGTGACAGTAGAAGTCATAAAGCAACAGGCTTATACAACGTCCCCACATCCTGCAGATACACACAAACAACCAGTTTTATTTTATATAAATTCAGCCCTCCTCTTCCTGAAGTAGCCATTTATTTAAGAGTGATACAATTCAAGACGGCATCACTGACCTCCAGTCTGTTGATGAGTTTCTTCTTGATGGCATTCTGAGCAGCAGCGTTGGTGGCCACTCGCAGACCCTCTGCAGCCTCCCTCAGTCTTTGCTGCTGGTCCTCATTCTCTGGGTACGCCGCCGCGCCCTGAGAACACACAGAGACACACACACGGATCAGCAAACACACAACAGGTGAGTAGGCCTGGAAAACAGCTGGTATAGAATCCACATTGTAGCATAAACAGATCATAAAGCCTTGATTTTTAACGCATTCTCCTTCCTGATAACATGCTAGCGCTCATTGCTACACACAGAAAAGTGATGCAGATTTAAATCTCAAACTGAGCTGCAGCTTGCCTCCATCACCTGTTTGTTGAAGGGTGAATGTCGAATTTATTTATATTAACAAGCAGCTCTTTTTATCTTTCTGTTTATGAATCCAGCGGTGCAAATTAACTGGGTTCAGTGGAGACCAATATCAATCAGCACCTCCGTGTCTCCTGCTGTTAGAGAGACAGACAGCTAAGCCGGCATCAATTAGGTTAATTAATTGGGAACCGGGTATATTCTACTGCAGCTACACAGAGAGGAGAGTGTCCGTGCTTTTTAAAGCTATGCCATTAAGGTAATTTGACAGATGTCACTATGAACAAGGGCGACAAACAGGAAAAGGCTTTCGGTGTTACTTTCTATTAATTTCGTGGGTGAAACATTTTGGTTTCATCCTTTGACTTTGCATTAATCACAGCAAAATGTGACTCAAATCATTGTCTGCAGCTGTCATTTGCCTGTTGGCAAGTGCTGACACCGATGTTCGAAACCAATTTGCATAATTATTTAAAAAGTGCTGATTTCAAGAGGAAGTAGCAAGATAGCACACTCAGTAATTCATAATGGGGAACTAGCCTTCAAAAAGCACGGTCTGTTGTACACTGATAAAATGCATGTACAATAAAGGGACTCGCTAAAACCTGACATGGGCTTTAAAAACAAAACAAGCACAAAAGGTTGGCTGTAAAACGTACAGACCAAAGATCAATCAGTTACCACGGAAACAACGGGCTTAAGTATAATTCTCCATAGATACAGATACGTGTACAGCTGTGACTGTGATAAATCTGGCATCAAACCAGCTGGAGGGCGTCATTTAATTGTCATGCTGGAAGTGGAGAGTTATTAATATCAGTGTGTGATTCTGCAGACAGATAATGAGACTGATGTGGAAAGTTAGCAGAGAAATGGCTTGGATAGAAGAAGAAGCTTGCCCTGTAGCAGTCGGGGAAGAAAGAGTTTGATGTCCCCGAACTCTTAATCATGTTATGATGGAAACCTTATGTGTGAACAGAACTGGAAGGGACATTTAAATGGATATTAATATTTTAACCTATCATTTTGTTTTGTTTGTCTCCATAGGCTTGTTTCTGGCAATACACAACCATTGCTATTTTATTATTAAACCAGAGGATTAAACGAGAATGAGCAAACATTTCCTTTGCTAAACGGGTTTGTTTAGTTCTTATTAATTAAAACTGTATCCATGTTAACACAATATATTTAATACGGTGCATTGGGCCGGCAAAATAATAGTTGTTTAATTATCACATCTTATTAATCGCTACAACTTAGAGTTCACAAACACAGTCATGTATATTTGAGATTAAAGAGAGTACACATTGTGGTTTAGCAAATTATCAAGGGATTTGAGCAACCCTAATATGAATTCTAAGACATTTATACTTTAGGAACAAAACCAAACTTTGCATTTAACCCAGGTTGGGAATGTTGCAAAGGCCACAAGAGTTGACCCATTTAAAAAACAAACTATCTTACTCAGTGTCTGAAAGGGATACCTGAGACATATCCCGCAGCTGCTCCAAAAAGAGTCAATAATTGAAGAACTAGAAATGCACTCCGAAAACGCAGACCTCCACTGAGGACAAGGGTGCATTCAAGTGCTCCTTAGACCGTTTATGTTATCGTTGTTTGTTCAACATGTGCTCATTAGTTTTAATTCGTAATGTCGAAAAAAAACAATAACGCTACAAAGAAGACGTGATGTATTTTATTGCTCAGAGCTTTTTATAACACGTTCAGAGCTGTGTCCTTGTTGTTCTGACTAGAGGGGGCCTGAATCTTCTCAGTCATGAAACAATTTGACCGTTTGATTTGACACCACATAAATGCAGTACAAATAACAAGAAAGTGATTAGCGATCCACTCTAAAACGATGTTAGTGGGTTCTTCCTTTGTCCATGCTGCTACATCTTTCCAGCAAGTTTCATAACGTTAAGGCTAGTCTTTTTTTTATGATCCTGCTGACGGTCAAAACAAGCAATAAATATAACCAACTTTTGGAGGTAATTGAACCACACAATGCGTTTTAACTGGATGACAACACTTTTTGTAATTCACAACTGGGACTAATCTTATTAGAAAGGGAAAAAGTGTTCAATGTCCGTGGATTGATGTGACCAGGTTTGCAGATGTGACATTACAGTCCAAAAACCATTGGGAAATGACCATGTTAAACCTTTTGAAACACACCTTGGAATTTGGGGTTTTCCAGAATAAAAAAAATCAGCCCATGCCACATTATTTTCTTTTATATCATAAAATGTAAAAAGGTCATTTTTCATCGATGAAACAACATCTTAGCAATACAAAGCAGAATGACTTCTTAAACTGTCATTCTTGGCCTTTTTCTTACACACACACACACACACACACATCACACACACACACACACACACACACACACACACACACACACACACACACACACACACACACACACACACACACAACACACACACACACACACACACACACACACACACACACCACACACCCACACACACACACACACACACCACACACACACACACACACACACACACACACACACACACACACACACACACACACACACACACACACACACACACACACACACACACACACACGTACGTCTGGTGCCTCTGGCCCAGCTCCTTTCCACTCTGCTGTCAGTGAAAAGGTCACCCTGTACGAGAGAATAAAACTCAGCCTTATAGATTTTTCATCTGGTCTTCAAAAAAAAAACACAGCTGTGATTAAAACCAAAACCTTTCCCTAAAGGATTCACCCAAAGATTTCTCTAAGTGGAAGATTGTGATGAATTATGCATGAACTTTTTTAATATACACTCAGTAAACTTACTTCTCTCTGTTGACAAAAGTTGAGATACTTATAAAATATATACGTATAAGCTTACCTTCGCTGCCTCTACCATCCTTGCGGTGGCGTCGGCGAGCAGTTTAGCAGCTGCCAGTAACTTCTTAGAGTTGTCCACGTCCACCTCTGCCTCAGCGTCAGACCTCATGGCGTTCACCAGGTCCGAGGTGGCCTGAGCCAAAACCCGCGCCTGACGCACCATCTCTCCTGAGACGGGATGAGAGAGGGCAGAGGTGGTGTGGAGGCGAGGGGAGGGCGGGGGGGAGAGAGATGAGAAATATTAGAGAGAAGTGGATTAATGGATGAGTCCTACTAATAAGAGATTGAGAGTGTTAACACTGTGGTTTAATGTAACTCCCTGGCTCCATCCTTTCTGAAAATCCTCCTGATTTAATTGTGATGAATAATTTGGACGGGAAAGGATACAAATGTTTGAACTACATAGATAAAAACAACTGTATTCTTATGCAGGTTGCGGATAATGATGCAATACGGCCAAATCTTAACAGAGCAGATACATATTTAAACAAACAGCATTGATGTATAATTTGACACCATTTCAGTTTGATTCGGTAAGACAAATTCAAGGCTTACTCGTTAAAAATACTCATAGTAAGTTCACTCACAGCAGGTCAGAAGATATAAACAAGCTTTTGAAGCGAAAATGTTTAATGTCAGCATAAAAAAAAAGAACCTTGAGGGAGAAAACATAATACAAAAGAAACGAAATTCTTGTGCGTCTGAATGTCTAGCACAAGTGTACTTCGCTCCCTGATCAGGTGTGCATAACGCTGTAACACCTGCAGCTGACTTGTGAAGAGACAATTAAAAGCAACTGTTCAACCAGCCCTGGTGTTTTCGATTCCCTCTGAAAATATTCTTAGAATCAGACAAAAGAGAAAAGAGAGAAAGGAAAATGAAAGAACTGTTGTCGATATTCTCCCTGGCAAAGCAGGCCTGGCCATGAATGCATGAAATGATTTGCCAACACTCCACTACAAAAGGATTTACTCTGTTTTTACTGAAGGTGAGACATAACCTGACATATTTGACACCGGTTCAAAGGCGGTATTTGCCAGATAGCTGCACGTATTCAGGCCACAGCCGAGAAAACAGCAATTCCCCTTGTCCATCAAACCCATCAGTTCGTCTAAGCTGACCGCTAACCCGGGACATTCTCTGTGAATCTCTTTCAATCCACCTGTCTTTCTCTGCTGTCAGTCTTGTAAACATCACTGTCAGCTTTTTCTCTGTGGCTTCCCCAGTGCTGACAGCAGTCCATTTACACCCACATCATGCCATTCTCTCTGAGGAGAAGACGGGATAAGGCACAGACACACAGTAAGACTCAGAAAGCCCAAACTTTAAAGCTGTGGAAAGCAAGTTTTCTGGCTGAACTTTGTGTGCTTTTTCATTACCCATATAAAACCAGATATTTGGCTAAAAAAGGATCCAATATGCTTCATTTGACTCAATTTCAAAAGCATGACAGAAGCCAAAATGTTGCCATGCTCATTTGAAAAATCTTTAAATGGGTTGCACTTTCAAGTTTTGTTCACGAAATCTGTAAAATGCAACTACAGTATGACGAAACACTTGAGAGAAAAGAGAGCTTGCATTTGAAACAAAAAACACTGCAATCAATACTGAGCTCTGCCTCCAAACCATCAGCTACCTTTCATTTTGTATTCATAGTTCCTTGATTTCTACCCAAGTTATCAATATTTCTATAAAAGCATTTGATCCTTTCTTCTTATCCTTTTTTTTGCTCGCAAAATTGTATTATCAACAAGATTAAGAGTCTTCAGCGCTTCAAGGGGCTGTGTGGGCTGTACTTAGGCAAAGCAGCGATTTGAGCTAAATGCTAACATCAGCATGCTAACATGCTCACAATTACAATGCTAACATGCTAAAAACAGGTAGATGTATAAATGGGTATAATTTCAGATATGTTCACTGAATTAGTGTAGCATATTAGCATGCTGACATCTGGTAATTAGTACTTACATAACACGCCAACCTGAGGCTGACGATATTCAATCTGGCCATAAATGAGGTGTTTGACAAATTCAATTTATGAGCTGATCATTGCTCTGGATAAAAAGATAAGGGAGATTTACCCTGGGGGGGGACACAACTATGTGTAGCAAATTTTAATCGCAATCCAGCCATTAGTTGCCTAGTCATTTCAAGCTTAAAATGTCAGCCTCATGGTGGCGCTAGCGGAAGAGTCAGAGGCTCACCAATATCATTAGGCGTCATCCTCTTGTCACCATGAATGTCTGTAAAACATGTCATGGGAATCCATACAACAGTTGTGGAGACATTTCAGTCCAGAGTGGTGGACTGACTGATGAAAGACATTGCCATCACTAGAGCCATGCGGCTAGTGTGGCTAATAAAAAGTTAAATCTCACTGAAAGTAGCTGGCTCTGATTTTTACCTTCCTGCTAGGGACAGCTTAAAAGCTTTTCAAATCAAAAATGCATCTTCATTTCAAGGGCAATTATTGACCTGTTTTTTAACCTTAAGTGCCAGTAATAACTGAATAATCATACAAAATTGCTTCATTTCAACATATTTCAGTCTTGTTAGTGTTACTGTTAAATAACATTGAGTATATTGGAAAAAGGCCCGTAAATGGCTGAATGTTAATGAACAAATTGAATTTATTATCTCAGCTTTGCAGTATCCTCTTTTGGACTCACCTGCGTCTCCCATGGAGCTGAAGATGTTCTCAGTGACGGTCATGATGGTGTCCGTGGCCTGATCGTAGCGCCCGATTGGCTCTCCCCTGGCGGTGTACTGGCGAACATGCTGCAGGAGATCTCCCAGCGCCTGACTCACCACGCTGGCCGCTGCGCTCACCTTCAACACAGGAGAAGCACATCATTAACGTTAGTGCTGCGCTCCTTAAGCTGCATTATGCCCTGCTTCTTATTCGATGAGGCTGGGGAGAAGCACACTGGATTCATTATCCTCATTGCTTCTTAAGCCGGGTGCTAAACTGGTACACAAACTGCATTGAATAAATACATTTTAAAAAGCTTGAGGATCATTATTCTAGGAAACCAGTCAACTCATGTGTTCCGTATCAAATCTTTTGAGACGAAACAAACAATTATACATAAATGGATATTTTAAATCATGCTGACCTGTTTGAGGAGCTCGCCATCTTCTGTGGCTGAGAGGCAGGCCTGGACGCAGCTTTCCACCGAGCGATCCACCAGCTTCCCCGCTTCGATTAACTGCTCCTGGCAAACCGGTGAACTGATGGTGGGACTCACCACCTACAACAAGGATAAGGAAGCGTAAACAATTCTAATGGTGAAGCAGGTGAGGACAAAGTAAACAAATATTTTCCATCTCCATTTATATTTCATGCAAAAAAGAGAAAAACATGGCATTATATAGTCGTGCAAAAGTTATGAATATGTGAAAAATCAAACATGTTTCTCCAGTTTACACGTCTAAATGGTACAGGTAATCTCCTTCATACATTCCGACTACAACTACTGGTTAACAGTATTAACATTTCACAGACAGCAGAGGAAACAGAAAAGTAAAGAACAATTTGAAAGCGATTCAGCAGATGGTTCTCATCACAGGATCATGCAGAAAGGTGAGGATTTGTTTAGTAAATGCAACAATTCATATTTGGAGCCAGGAGGGCTTTTAAACTAATTAGAGGCATGTGGATTGTTAAATAAAAGATGTGCAAATATGATGCTGGCGTAGGGTATTTAACAGTGCCTTGTTGATTCATGATATAATCATGCACCAAAAGCTGTGGATAAATTAGAGGTTATTTATTTATTACAGAAATCTCTATTTACCAAACCGTGCTGCACGGTCTACTTATTAGAGAAGATAAATCAACAAATGGGGAGGTGTTGTCATGCATGCACAACAGGTTCCCAAGTGACACCACTGCAAAGTTGGGAAACATCACACCACCAACATAAATAAACATGAACATCTACTAAATTAACTTTTTTGCAAAAAGAGTGCATGTCACACAAATACTGATATGATAATTTAGCACAATGACTCTCACATTTCAAGATGAAATCTGAGAGTCTAACAGATGTCTGTACCTTGGCACAAGCCACCAGCTGGGAGGTGGACAGCGCACACTGAGTGGCAGCAGCTATGACCCGGTTCTGGAGCACGGCGTCGTCCGCTACCTGTGCCACGTTCTTGGCCTTCAGCACCATCATGGCTGCAGCGTTGGCCACTGCTTTGGCCAGATTCATCAGGATGTCCTACAACAACGGGTTTCAAAGAAGAAATAAGAAAAAAACTCTCATCAGTAAGATATACATGTCTGTCCTTAGACATATTTATCCCTTTCTAATAAACAAATGATATGACAAGTGAAGAGAAAGGTTATCAATTTGAGCTCTGTGTCTGTGACAAAGGATTGTGTCTGTAGTTGTGCATAATTGCGCTAAAAAAGAGGGGATGGAAAATGAAATGACATCTAAGTGCAATCTAATTTCTTTTTAGCAGGAAAAGCGATGCTCTTTTTCTTATTGTATATTATATATTTGTAAAAGGGAACCATCAAGAATATAAAAAAAACACTTTCTCCTACTGCGCATACAGTACATACAACACATCATTACTATACACTACTGAAATACACTGTGTGCGTGGTGACAGGCAGGCTGTAAGAAAGGTTGTGTTGATCTGATCTATGTATAACCTCGGCAAACATTGCATTACAATAACAATCGTGGTTCAGCCAAGTATGAGCTACATGAAAGAAAAACACAGGCCTGACAGCTAGAATAGCATTCAATTCAAACTAAAAACATAATATCCTCTCTGTATTCCCCTGGATACAATGTGTTTTTGATTAACAGAGTTCCAGAGGAGTGAGTTTTCTTTAGATATTACACAGACGGTGATGGTGATGATGATAAATGGATTGGGGGGGGGGGGGTTACCTGGAACCTCTCGTCCATCTCGTTCTCTCCAATCTGGCGCAGGAGGTCTCCGCTGGCCTGGCCGATGCTGCCGGCTGCTGTCAGCACAGTCTGTCTGGGCTGCAAACACACACACACACACACACAGAGAAAACCATCAGGATGTGAAGCTGCATTTGGACGCCTGGTTGGAAACGGCATCATCTTGCATCTTGAAATATAGCTTCCAAGTAACCTCTAATGTGTTTAACTGTGCTGCATGCAAATCATTGCCACTATAGTGATGCACCTTGATATTGATTTTAACACAAAGACATGTATCATATTGCTAGTTTACTGCAATAACACACAACAGCACCATATCTGCTGGTAACACTTATATTGTGGTAGTCTGTCTGGAGACTAAGGTGTTGAAAGAAATGTGCAGAGTCGATACAAACACAAATAATAATAATAATAATAATAATAATAATATACCTTATAATAAACAAATCAACCTTTGAAAAAGATGTGCATAATCATCTATTGGCATGCAGGAGACAGGCTGCGTTCCAGCTTCTACTTGAATGTATATACAGTGTTGACTGGCTTTATGAATGATTAAATTATGTATTCTCTGATACGTGTAGGAAGATTAGCTTATTGCCATGGCATCAGCTACTGGGGATCCTTGAAGTTTACTTCAGGCTTCACGTAATCTTTCCAACTGCCCGCATGCATAATGCAGGAGTGTATAAGGATCAGCGTTGTCCCAAAGCTAGATGAACCCGTGCATTATGCAGATTACCAGCCAACAACTGTACAGTACATTAACTTCTGAATGATACTGCCACAACAACAAACTCCTAATAGACTTCAGTGAGAGCATTACAGTAAAATACAGACGGAAACAACATTAGCACAAAGTGTCTTTTACTTTTTAAAGTAAGTTCTGCTTTCACAAAAGCATGAAATGCCCTGCCATTCAGCCTAGCCACAGTCTGAGATCTTTTATTAAGACAGACCTGAACAATTCAGTTAGCCGCAGCCGGCCAGCATCAGAGGATGTTAATATAATTAGATTTAGTATGGAGGAACAGAAGAGACACTGCTTTATTAAGAGATGATAAATTGTGTCCGAGCAGAGCTGCTCCATGGCAAATTAGATTAACTTTTTAGGTTATCAATTTGGAAAGAAAAAAACATTGTGTGGAGTCAAATACACAGACAAAATCTGTATTTTAACCAACACAAATGAATAGTCTGCTTGCTGTATGGACTCAAAGCCAGGTTCAGGCTTCACTTTCACACATTTTTCTAGATTTTCTGTCCATTATCTACTCTTTCTATCTATGTGCCTTCCCTGCTTTCTCCATTTGATGTAAGCTCAATATGGTGGCCATTGTTGGTCTTCCCTTCACATTTCAATGTCTACAGTCATATTGACTATTATGTCGTTCAGACTTTACTTGCCATGACTTCAACATGAACCATCTGCAATCTACTGTATGTCACATATCCAAAAATCATAGGCAGGGAAAATCCTACACAGCTGGAGTAACAAGCTAAATAAAGAGAGATTGGTACCATACAAGATAGGACTGGTGGTGTTTTGACAAGACATGGTTTCATTATCTCAGTGTTTCTTTGCTCACCTCTCCAGAGGCCGGCTCCACAGCCTTCAGCAGGTCAGACACGGCCCCTGCGAGGGTCCTGGCAGCCCTCATCAGGTCATTACCTCCGCCCACGTCATCCTCCATCAGTGCAGCCAGCAGCTTCACACCCTTTGACATTTCTGTCAGGTTGGAGGAGATGGTGGTGATGGCGCAGCCCACGGCGGTGTAGTCTGTGTCAGTGGGATCGCCTGGGTATGGGGAGAGGGGACAGAATAATAAGGGCCATCAATAAAAGAACACTTATTTTAACCCAATTCAAAAGCATTATTGAGTCTTCTTAACATTCACTAACACTATCTACCTTGAAGTACTATTAAAGAAAGCATACACACATTAGTCAATTTTAGTTAAGGAATATTAGCAGGAGAATATTATAGAATAAATGAAAAAACAACCTACAGTATTTCAACTTGGAGGGTTTCAGAATGGCACATAGCCAATAGACACATCTACCAGTCTACATACACCAAACCACAGCAGGAAACAGGGACCTATAACATTTTATACAGAGCCTGAAACTATGTCAAGGAACACCAGACTGATGGGAAAGGTCTGCTTTAGTCTCTAATTAGCCAGATCATTTTAACTCTGGCACTCCTCAAATGTACTTGTAAAACTGTGGGCATGACTTAACACTTACTCTGGTTTCATTAAGCCTTCCTAAAACCCTCATAATTATTCCCACAAAGGCTTTTCAACAATACATAAAGTAGCTCTACTATCAAGATGTCTGCAGTGAATCAAAGCCTTGGTAGCCGACAAGCAGCGCATAAATCTGCTGAGTCATGCCAGTGCCACTCACCAGCTGTGAGATTGACGACAGAGGCGGTTCCTGCAGTGATGGCGTCCACCTGGGAGTGGATCTCATGCTTCGACTCATCCATCTTGTTCTGGATCCATACCTTGGATGCCTAGGTACACAGAGGGAGACCACAACAACATCATTATTTTTGCATGCTTGAAATTCATCTAAACATGGCTGTCATTCTGCAGACAGCTCTATTATTTATTACCATTTGTCACTATGATTTTCTGTTATGACTTTTTCATTTATCACATGCATAGGCAGTTATATATATTACAATAAAACGTGGTGTTACAGTGTGTGTGCACTGTACTGTACCATGTCCTGTCCCAGTGGGGGCAGGTCGTCCACCTCCCCTAGGTTGATCTGGGCCTTCTGCACAGCTTGCATACTGGTGTTGATGGTTCCCATTAAAGCCTGCTGTGCTGAACTCTATGCAAACAGGAAGACAAACAGGTTCATTTCTCACTGAATGCAGCCTTGAGGCATTTAAAAAAAAGCCTGCTTAGAAGATGATTGCACCCTTGTGAAGCTATTTGTAGCATGTGTCTAGTAGTGTGTGAGTGGCATACAGCGTCAATTTCATCACTGAGCAAAAAGACATCACATCACACTGAGTGCCAGTTTGCTGTTCTTACGAGAGGTGGCATGTGCCCGCGGTGCATCTGACCCATTGTGATCTGCTGCTGAGCAGACGGCATGGTGCCCATGCTGAGCGACTCTGTGCCGATGGAGCCGGAGCGAATCACCCCTGGCAGCGCCACCGAGCCATGCTCCATTCGGCCCACACGATTAAACTGCTGCTGAAGGATGGTGGACCTGCAGGCACATAATCAGGCAGTAAATAAAGCTTCTACAATGTTAAGGGAAAATCACCTGACCCTAAAACACCATGTTTTCAAAAGAAGTCCTGTCTGAAAGGGGGCATATTATTCTCAGTGTTTTGGTTCATACTAATAGTTTTGGTTCATACAACACATTTGCTTACTTTAAATGATTAGAAACACATTATTTTACGTTTATTATCGGTTTCATATGCCCTCTGTCTGAAACACTCTATTTTAGTGCACAGTCCTCCTCCAGAAAGTGTCCAGTCTGCTCTGAATATCTTGCGAGAAAATTAGGGTATGTACAAGTATTACAAATATAAAAAAGGTATATTCTAATAATCCTACATGTGACATATAGTAGGAAGGGTGGCCAAATCTGAAGGCTTGTTGAATTAACAAGTGAGCTTTTCATGATGTGTCACCTTTAAGTAGATTAATACACACAGCATGAAAATGTATCCAAAGTTTTCTTAAAGAGGGCAAATCTGGCAAGTTACATGTAATCATAATGATTTATATTTAAATCACACTCTCATTAAAGTTGAACTCAAGCTAGGAGAACCATATTTTGTGTGTGTAGAGTAACAGGGATCCGAGAATGAGCACTTTCAAAGCATGTTTTTCATATAGGTATTTATCACCAAAGGGAGTGAGGTGACGAAATCAATCAGTGGGAGTGATGATTAGTCATTATCCTCTCCACAAATTACTGGTCTCACAGCTTTACAAAAAGTTGTTCCAATCACAGTGAAGCATGAGGATGAAAATGTGAAATGAAAATGGGTATTTGGATGTAGCAAGATTAAATGTATTCAAAATTCAACATGTCAGTAATTCTGTCATGTTACCACATATAGACAAGGCAGTAGCTAAAACAAACCATAAGAATAACTAACAGCAGATAAATAGTCCTGCAAAAGGAAAGTAATAGGGACCACATTAGCTTAATGTCACAGATAGCCAAGCACAATTCAATGTAAAGGGAACACCATTTTGTTCCATTTCTCTAGGCTTTACATGGCCATGGAAACAGAGCCCGTACAGCCCAAAAAACGTTGGATTTTCTCTCATACAGACTTGAACAACTGAAGATTAAAAGCTAAATCCAATGGGAGGGATTTTTACCACCGAGCATTTGGCTGTGTTCGCTTCCTGATAGTGGGCCACTAACACAAAGCAGAGCGACATTGTAGAGTCTTCCCACTGTGTCCTTCTGGAAGACAGAGCTTTGTTTTGATTTTCCTCAGATAAGGCCTGCCAGTGTAACGCTTGCTATGTGTTTGCAGTATTAAAGACTTTTGCCTTCGGGCCTGCGCGCAAGCACAGATAAAAAGAAAAAAACACAATAACGATTACAGCAGAAGATCTCAGTTTAAAGCTGGAAAGCAATAAGCTATCAAATGGGGGGCTAGACATGAAAGGGGCTTCAGAGAGCCCACTGTGGATAAATGAGCTAATACACATCTAATCAGGAAATGTTCAGAGAGGGCCTTTGCTTTTCCAGTGCAGCAAAATGTCCTCATATAATGATTATCTCTCAGGATAAAGTCCAGCTGAGGAGTTGTTCATGCGGTGAAATGAGGTTCTGGAAGATGGATGTGTGATCTGCGGTCGAGGAAGGTGGTGAAAAGGAAATTGAAAAGGGACCCAGACTGATATTGTTTTTTTGATGGAATAATATGCAATAACTTTGTGTGATGCTATTGAGCACAAACCACCATCATACCGCCACTGGACTGTAACAACAATGTAATGCAGGGTTGTCTAAGGATTATCCCAAACCACTGCAAGTATTTCGTGCTGTAGTTTTATTCACATTTTATTGCTTTTGTAAAGACCACACTATGTGAGTATTTTGTTTTCTACAACTTTATTCTTATGGGCTGTTCTAAGGCAGTGCTGCTTGGAGCTCAATGTTAGCGTATGGATGCTAACATGCTTACAATGACACCACTAAAAGGCACATTTTTAGCAGTTATAATGTTCATCATGTTAGCATGCTAAAATTTGCTAGATAGCACTAAACACATAGGCAAGGCAAGTTTATTTATATAGCACCTTTCAACACAAGGCAATTCAAAGTGCTTTCCAAAAAGGAAAGACATTAAGAAAATGGCATTTAAAAACAGTCATTAAAAAGCAAAGATAATAAAATAAACATTAAAAGAAAAAAAACATGGATAAAAGCACATTTTGGATGTCACGACCAAAACATCAGACAGATTGAGTTATTACAGATATTTCCTTGGAAACCCCAAATGCTTGTACCATATTTTCAGTTGTTGAGTCAAAGGCTCATATCCACTGAGCCATGCTGCTTTCAAGCCTTAGAGGTCAAAACACTTTACTAGTTAAATATTTACTCACTTTTTCGGGGAGACGGATTCCTCAAGCATGGTCGACTCCTCATCGCCTTCTAAGCCAAAGCGGTCCTTGCTTTGCTTCTGCAGCACAGAGAAAAATACAGCAAATATTAGTTTCAAAAGAAGTGCTGGGGTTTAAAACAACAACCCTGAGGGAACCTAAATGTTACATTGACTGTAGTATAAAACAACCTGGGCCCAAATTCATCACACGATTGAAATGAATCTCCATTTGACATATACGTAAGTATATTTGAAAGAATTAGATTCCACAGATTAAGGTGATTTAAACTAAAATGTCAACCATACTAAAGCTTAACAGTGTGCAACTTTTTTAACTGCGGGGATAAAGACAGATCAAATATGTTTGCAGAAAATAGCTATCTGAGTTTTTGCAGTGTACCTGTGCCGGATGAGCCCAGCTGTCTTGTACTTGTTTTTATTCAAAAACAGCTGTCTAACACAGCAGCCTGAGCATATCAACAGATATGAGACTTTATCGAGCCATTATGATTCATCAGGGTCTCCAGAGATGAATGTCTCACCTTTTTGAGGATGATGTCGATGTAACCGGCAATGAGCTGAGAGATCTGTTCCCCTTCAGTGGTCTGCACTGAGTAATAGCTTTCCTGGTATTCCCCAAAGTCCTACACAAACACAGAGTCAAATCTTAAACATGCATTTTCATTGGCAAGTAAGGAAAGTAACCGATGCAGTGCTTATGTATAGAATATGAGGATTTACTGCGCGGATTAATGTGTAGCCAGGCTAGTGTCAGATACTGTAAGTACTACATATTGTGTTGGACATGAAACCGCTGCAACATACAGAGAGTGGGATAAATCCAAGAAGCATGTTGGAGCAGATTTTATGTAGGATCCGAGCAGAATTAAATTAATCCGGAACATTTTTTGAGTAAAGCTCTGTACACGTCACATGGGCACACTATACATACAGTATATCCAATGGGGTTGCAGGGTGATTCTATCCAATTTACAATGGGCTGAAATCTATGACTCCTTAAACGAGTGAACGACAAATCAAATCCATTTTGAATCCAACTGTAACAAGAACACAGAGCCTAAACCGAAAGACACTCTAATGAATTAACAGGAAGAAAGAGAAAGCATGTTAATTTAATAAAGACAGAGCATCGACCAGATCTGAAAGATTAAATCCAAGTTGCTCATTGACTCCGAGTGCAGACACAAAGGAGAGATATTGACAGGGAAGACAAAGGACTGTGTTCAATAACTGAGGTGGGCGAGGGAGTGAAAGGACAGCCTGAGCACTACAGTGATTGTTTAATGGCCACTGCAGGGAACAGTTGGGTTTTTACTGTGAGTCTGTCCTCATTTACTAGTGTGGACAGAATGAATACAAGATTAAATAGGCTGAAAGAACAAAGCCGGCTGTATCAAATAATGGTGAAAAATTATATAGATCAGTAAAAATCCTGGAGGGCCTGTAAAACCCCTCGGGGCCTCCAGGGGTTATGGGTTAGCGACTATGGACTGCATTTTTCCAGGGTTATTTTTAAGATGTTTCTGCCCCATTGAATCACACACGAGGACGATGGAAACGACAAAAGTGAGCAGATAAGATGTCAAACTGATCAAGGGGAACACAGATCAGAGGCCAGGAGGTTGAAGACTTCGGTCTGTTTTTAAGCTTAAAATGAATAAAGGTTGAGGTACAGTGTGGTCTCGCAGGACTGTGGAATGTGTGAGCTACTGCAAATGACTATTTGATGAGGTGAGCTAACAACGCAATAGAGTTTGTGGTTTTTTCTATTCTTCATCTCTACCCTTATCCTCTGGTGCTGATAGACACTGATTAAAAGCCAGATCAGTGTCCAGTTAGATGTATTTTTGCAGAACGTGTGTCTTACCAGGGTGAAGCTCTTGGGCGACGCAGCCCACCTCTTCACCGTGGTGAGGGGCCACTCCTGAACCACGTCTTTGGTCTTCTCCTCCACTCTCATCACAGACTCTTTGGTGATCCCCAGGAGCCGCGGCACCAGCTTGTTCTTACTCTTCATCTTTTCCTGAAAAAATCAACTTTCTGGTAAACTTTCAAAATGTGTCACAGTTACATTATGTTGCAACCAGGGTTGGATGCACATATATAATCAGGTGATGGCTCATTGAGAAATATGTCAACCTACTTTCAGCTTTGCTTAGAAGTGTGTATCTTCTTCAGGATGCAGCTAGTTTATTAGACAATCTTGTCATTACTAGGCTCTGGGGGTTTTATTTTCAGTCAAAGATTTTTAACATAGCGGTCTGAGATTTGTAATGGATGAGTTTAACAATGCACTATGTAGACTAGTAAATAAGTGAGCTGCTTTTTCCTGTCCGTTGGAAGTGATCTGCACTCTTTGCTCTATGTTCATATGGCCCCTTTAAAAAAGTGTTTTTAATGTTTTATTACTGCTGCAATGGCTTCACATGATAAGTTAACTTGACAAAAAAACATTAATTTTGCTTCATTTAGATTTGTTTTCATTTAAGATTTTTTGCTTTCAGGTCATTTGTGTCATCTCTCATAGGATCACATTGTATTAATGTACTAAACCAACAAGACACCAAACCTCATGATACAAAAACAAATGTCATTTTTTTCTTTTCTTGAGTGAACAATTCATTTCATCTTTCATTTTAATTTAAACCGGCTTGATAAGGACATTACTTGAATAAAGACCGATTAACACTCCAAGCAACATACTTAAATTCAAAGGCCTAGCCGCTTCAACTTGTATTTTGCTGTCACACTGATCTGCCAAGATGGGTATTCATCCGTCTAACCAGTTAAAGAAACAAAAACACATTTTTCCCTGTTAGTAATTATAGCGTAACGTCTTAATCATGTCTTTATCTGCCTGTCAGAAACTCTCAACCTCCCCTGCATTCACTAAGCCTCTAATGTCATACTCCAGTCGCTCTGTGAGCTGACAGAACAGCTGACTTCTTCTCCTTTCCCTTCATGGACAGTGAAAGTGTTTCTCCAGGAGCTGCAGTGTGTGAGCAGATGGACAGACTGTGATGGGGTGTGACGTGAGGGCAGAGAGGTGAGTTGTGTAAAAATCCTGGAGGGCCTGTAAAACCCCTCGGGGCCTCCAGGGGTTATGGGTTAGCGACTATGGACTGCATTTTTCCAGGGTTATTTTTAAGATGTTTCTGCCCCATTGAATCACACTCGAGGACGATGGAAACGACAAAAGTGAGCAGATAAGATGTCAAACTGACCAAGGGGAACACAGATCGGAGGCCAGGAGGTTGAAGATTTGTGTGTTTTTACGCTTAAAAGGAATAAAAGTTGAGGTACAGTGTGGTCTCGCAGGACTGTGGAATGTGTGAGCTCTGAGGTGAGCTCACAACCTAATAGAGTTTGTGTTATTTCTATACTTCATCTCCACCCTTATCCTCTGGTGCCGAAAGATACTGATTAAAAGCCAGGAACTGTCTGGCAGAGAGTCAGTAAGTGACTTTTTTTCCTAAGCAATTACCAGAAAGGATGTCATTTTCAAAAAAATCTCAGCAATGAAGCCAGAAGAGGTGACAATTGGACAGAGATGTATCAATACAGACAGGGAGGTTTCCCATGGCTTTATGCAGGATTTCGTCTTGGTGACAAATAACGTGAGGCAAAAGAAATCTGCCAATTGCTGTCAGCACGATGGCAGCTCGACTTGGTTTGCCGGTGCGATGTCTCCTAGTCTCCCTTATTTACTCCACTTCTGTGTATGTGTATGTGTATGTGTATGTGTATGTGTATGTGTATGTGTGTGTGTGTGTGTGTGTGTGTGTGTGTGTGTGTGTGTGTGTGCGTGTGTGTGTGTGTGGTAAGAGAGGAGAGATGATGGTCAATGTATGGCATGCAAAAAGCCAAAGGTTCATTCATATGCATTTTTTTCTCTTAGTTTTTTTACATTTACAGATATAATGGATGGAAATGAATGATTTGGTATCTGTAAGAATAGTTGCGTGAAAAAAGGCTGTACTGTTCAACCCAATTTAAAAACGATAGAAAGCTGTATGTATGCATCATTTCCCCCCCCAATTAAAAATGTTATAAAGAAAAACATAATCGCTATTTAAAGATTATTGTAAATAACGAAAGAAAAATGTTAATTAGCAATGAGTGATTATTGCTAACCTCATTGGCAGTTTTTTCCGGCCCTAATTATTTCCCTCTTGGTTCAGAAGACATTTTCAAAGTTCAGGTGGACACAGAAAATGTCCCCACCAGCTGAGACCTGCCCTCAAACTCTTTATCCTTTTCACACCAAGCTCAAAGAGCGTATTTCACACTCAGGAGATAAAAGGCTCTTGCTATATTTCCACCAGTTCATAAAATCTGCGTCCACTTTAAAAACAAATCTATTTTAAAAACAGGAGAAAATAACTGCAGGCTAAGTTTTTCTCATTTCGAAGGCAGATGATCTTTTTATGGAATACAATGGTGCGGGGATACCTCATTAAAATTGTATATTTTTGTGAATTCACTAAAAATAAATAATAAAATAAAGACTTACTTTGACCAGGAAGAAGGAGACGCCATATGTCCGCAGAGACCGCGCCAGTTTGACATATTTCACTTTTGTTTCGATTTCTGTAATTTCTCCACAGTCCTTGTGATCCTGCAGTTTGGAGCATACATGTATTTAGCCTCTGAAAAACTACTGCTTGATTGTCAAATGTGTTAACGTAAAACAACCATTTTCTAAAAAGGTTAGGAAACTAACTTGGAATATTTTCTTCTCCGATCCTTTCTGCTTGATGTATTCTTTGGGTAGGAACTCCTTCAGGCTAAGAAAATGGAAAAAGAGAAGCTGAAGTTTGAACAGACATTTTCTTCTGCTACTGCCCTAAAACTCAGAAGAACAATCAATTCTCCCGAACAACAAACCTGGATTTGTAAAAGGAAAAAAATGTTTCTATACCTCCATGAAAGATTGAACTTTTTCACTTTAAGTCAGTTTTCTGACCCAAACGAGTTCTACACCTAATATTTGGCAAATAATCTGGAGTAAAAAAAGCTTATTTGCAACTACTCAATATGGGCTTAATCTACAACACTGAGAACAATGAAAGGCTCACTCTAAGAATCCAGGCTTGTGTTTATGCTCTATGTGAGGTCCAAACTGGATCTGGGCCTGAATGCCTGCGAACTGGCAGGCCTTGTCAAACGATACGGGGTGAGAACCGTTAAGGATGTCATCTCGAGCCTGAAAGACAAACCAAACCTTTCATTATTTGGGGTAAAGGTAAAAATACAAAACATTTGAGAAGGTATTCAATTATACCTATTGATAAAGTATCTGCACTCAAGTTAATTATATTAAGACTATATAAAAAGGTTTGTAAGAATCACTAATTTCATTAAAAGGTATTCAAATGTTATATCATTGCACATTTTCGGAAGCCTTTTGTCAACATTAGGTGAAAATGAAGAAAATAGATATCAGTGTATATCCTCTGGTTTGTAGTTATACTAATTAAGTGTGGTAAATATGAGATGGAATAAAAAGTTTGAGGGTCAGACCTGAACGTAAAGCAGATTGAGTTGGACAGGATCTCTGGAGTCCACGTTCTGGTCCGAGTAGAAGAACTTGCGTCTGAGCAGAAGAGTCTCGTTCTCGTCCACGCCTTGCTCTCTGAACGTCCTGCTGTGGTCCAGCCAGTTCACTGACAACACAAAAACACAGCACAGGAATCAGTTAATAAATACATCTAGATATGCATACTGTATCAGTTAACAATGATCCAAACTGTGCAGTTGAGGAGAAAGACAAGGATATAAGCAATAAGAAATACAACATTTATCTTCGTAGGTTCTCAACCTTTATGAGTAGTGTCTCCAAAAAGAATCAGGGAATTGTCCAAACTGTGACCTTGACCTCCCCCTGACCTGCTGGAAATCCCCCCCTTCAGAAACGCATGTGCTTCCACCCTTTGACTCTCACAAATACACTCAATTAAATATATTTTTAAGGCAAATTCAATCCCTGATGATGCAATGTAATGTTAAAGCCATTCCCCAGTCAAAAATCTGTTAATGTTTATTTATGACATCATTTTATTTTTTTCTCTACAACCATCTGGCGACCCCCAGAAATTATCTTGCGACCCCCAGGGTTGAGAACAACTGATGTTAATTACATGACCGTCATCTCCAAAACATTTCCATTAGTCCTCCACGATCTTTTCCTACTAGCTCTCCTCTCTCTCTCTCTCTCTTGGCTTTGCGTCTGAGTTTTCCCTGACGTCCAGTTCTAATAAAAGTCAAAGAGGTTCCAAAAGTGTACACTGAACTGTGTAATGATATGTACGGACGTGTGAGGCATTTCTAAATAGAGTCTAATGAGTGGAACTGTCGTACTACGCTTCACTGGCTCCAGTCAACATCTACAAATATCTGAAGGTTGACCAAAGGAAACATTTTCCCTCAACTATGCTGTCAAAAATGCCAAGTGAACGGAAAAGTATCTTGAAGTTAACTTTAGTTCAAGGCAGAATTCGGGATATATTGATGTGAACAAGATAGTGTCGGGGCTGAGCACAATGTGCAGCCTCGGGGTCAAGAGATTTAAATGTACTGCTCCCACAGAAGTTGGTAGACATCAAAGTAAGCTGTTAAAATGTGCTATTTAATACCCACTGTGAAATGAAATAAAAGTGTAAGTGCATTATGATTTTGTTAAGAGGGGAAAAAACTCATGACCCAGAAGGGCAGGCCGACCACTTTAATTACCGACTTCAACTACACCATCAGGTCAAAGGTCACTCTACTGAACTCACAGTCGTCGTCTGTGTGTAGTTTGGCTTTCAGCTTCTCCATTTTTCTCTCGTCTCGCAGCAGCGTCCTGTCTTTCTTCAGCGTGCCCATCCCATCCTCCTTCTTCTCCTCCACAGTCTCCTGGATCACAGAGTATTCTTCATAGTTTGTGATTCCTGTAATCAAAAAGACAAAAAAATGTAAATAAAAAAATCACCCACAATATCCCCCAGATGGATACATGTTTGATTTAACAGGATTGTTTTCTTAGTGTTTAACAACTGTCTCTGTGGTTTACATTCACATTTGTGTTTGCAAAAGCTCTTGTTAAGCAAACTAATACAAATTGTTCATTTAATTGATTCCCATTCTGTTTATTTTCCAATGATAGAGTGAACTATCTGCATGTTTTGAACAGATTTGATTGGAAAAACACTTCAATTCAAATGTTGTTTTAACACTGAATGAAAATGTCTTTAAAGGCTTACTAATGGGCAAGTAACAGTTCTGAAAAGGTGCTACCCATACAGCAGAGCTCAAAAGCAACAAGAAAAGGGCCAAAGTAAGAAACTATATACCTATTCTACTGCATATAGTCACAAGCAGCTCTCCCACTGTTTTGGAGTCGTCCACCATGATGGTTTTAACGGCCCCATCCAACATTTTGATTTTCTGGGGCCTCTGCTTCTTCTTGTATTCAAGGATGTCCTGTTCAAAGACAAAGGACAGAGAAAGAGGAGAGAGGAATGCATGAATTAAATGAAAGAGAGAAAGAGCCGGAGAGGCTGAGAAAGTACCCGCAGAGAAAATGATCAAATGCATCCAGGTTGCATGTAGAGAGGGGAGAATATAGCCCAGAAAACCTTATTTAACGGCTGCCTATCACAGCCAGCTGCTCCCTTCCAATCCCAACAATGAGCAGAGATTTGGCTCAGAATAATTGGTCACAGTCATGCATTCTACCTGGGTTGCCTTTGGTGGATTTGAGGAGGAGAACCCATTTAGAGCTGCAAAAGCAACCCCACAGATGTACAGAGAGGCAGCACTACATGACACACAGAGTCCCCCAGGCGTCTGGCAGCGGGGCTCAGAGACTGGCGCTGGATCTACTGCTGATCTTCTTTAGAATCACTCTTTTAAAGCTCCCTCTTTTCGCTTTATATCCAATTTCATCATGTGTGCAGCTTGTTTCTTCTGATCTGGTTTAAGTATTTTGGTAAAACCACTGAGATCTCAAAAGTGTTGAAAGAAATCCCTTAAAACTGGATGAAAGTTAATTGATGACATCTTCATCCAGCAAACTCAATGCACACGGATACTACATTATTAGATGAAACGGAACATTACCTTGATATAAATTATGGATTTCTCTAGGTTTGATTATTTTTGAAAACATTTAGGCTAATGGTAGAAACAATACAAATACAAAAATGGAATTTGTGATTTTTAGACATTTAAATCCTGAAATGCTATTCATTTAAATCAATTAAATTCAATTGTTGATATTTTTCTCATCATAAAGCTTTTTGTTAAAGGTGGGGTAGGTAAGTTTGAGAAACCAGCTCGAGATCGCTAGAATTTGAAAATACACAACCGGAGAAAATCTGCCACTTCCTTACAGAGCCCCTCCTCCAACACACACGAACGTGCACATGACCAATGAGGGCACGAGATAAGTTTGTGCACAGATGGAAGGCTGACAGGCAGGTAGGCCATCCAGTTATTTTAGCCGGGCCGGCTAAAATGATTGGTCGTGCTTTTTACAGTACTACGGCTTCCACAGATGACATTTTTTATGGATTTTTTGTCAAAGCACTTAAGATATTCATTGCTATCGGGATGTTAAGAGCATTCCATGGAATATAACAAAAAGTGTATCTCGAGCCGGTTTCTCAAACTTACCTACCCTACCTTTAATGATCTATTTAAATACAAATCATCACATTGTGCTTTTCCTTGTTCGTAGTTGTATATCTGAGTACGGTATATACGCCTTCTGTGAAGAAGATAAACAGTGTGTGTGTTGGGCGAACAGCTTGTTTGTTTTTACCCCACTGCGTAGCATGTAGTAATCGAGCGTTCTTCCGGACTCCAGCCAGATTCCTTTTCTGGGGTCTTCATCAGACAGAAACAGGCCATAGTCTGAAGCTGGAGCAGTGAGGAGAAACAACAGAATTAGCATTAGCATTGCATTCTCTCAACTAGTCTGCTAACATGCTAATGCTGTCAGGTGGAACAGTGATATTGGACCCTGCCAACCTATTCTGATCACTACTTGTATACTTTACGCGAGTAGTGAAAGTTGGCAAGCTGTGATTTATGGGGGCCGAGTGTGGCATCTCGGTCAAGTCAAGTTAAGAATGTATGATATGTTCGCACAGACGAAAATAGCATATAGTCTAATCCCAGCATTAGACAATATTATATATTATCCAAGACCGGTAAGAGTGGAATCTGAGGGTCATGACAAAGGTATAAAAGTCGTAACTATTATGAATGAGATTCTTTTCCTAAAATGTTAATTCCCATGTTTTGTATTTTTTATTCCAAGTCTATTTAGATTATTTAGTTTGTGAGCCCCAGGACATCCATCCGCTAAACAGTCAATTTGAAGTACTAATCTGCAAAATAAGATAAATGTTGTAAATACACAAGGTACACAGTTCTGTGAATAATAACAAACATATTCTGTATTACTCTCGTTGATACACTGAGTTCATAATCTCCCTTGAATGCCTGTTTTTTTTTTTTACCTTTTACCCCACATTCAGTGTCCTTTTTATCATTCTCACCCTGTCCAGCCTGAGCCTCAGGGACTCTCTCTCTGATGATCCTACAGGCGTCATAAATGGCTGTGGATGGCTCAAACTGCATCGTCTTCACCACATTGCACTGGCGAATGCAGATTTTCAGCGACAGCACCACCATCTTGGCAGGCGGTGTGGGGGGGGGGGGGGGGGCTGCAGCTACACCTATGCAAGAGGAGGAGGACAGAGAGGGGAAGGACAGAGGAGCAGAGGGTGAGTTTAATGCATCACACTCATCAAGGAAGTCCAAAACGTGAGCACAGTGATGAAACTCATTGACTGTGAAGAACGAGCCAGATGTTGGGGAAGAATTACTTTCCTGTTGTTATACAGAGGGAGCATACACTACTCTCAGTCTGATACACATTTCTCTTGCAAATGGGGTAATTATGATGCTCAAATTGAATATACTACGTGTTACATTAATCCACTTTGCCATTGCTGCTATGGTTGATAAAATAGGTAACATGCTATTTATATTTTCTAACTAAAGCCATTTATCTCTTCACTTATCTGCCCTTTCTTGAAGTCAGGCATGCTGTTATGTTACACACAAGCTAACACTCACACACACACAAACATAAAATAATTATTTCCCTCACACGGTCATAAACGATGACATTTTATGAATGTGGGGAAAGTGCTAACTTGTGCACAGTGAGGCCATTGTTATGCTTCATAAAGCAAAAAGAGCCGACAACAAATGTATCACTTTTTGAGAACGACCCATCTGGTCTCTGCCGGGGACAAAGAACAGACTCTGAATGATCTGAGCAAGAGACTTTAAAAGATCAAATAAAGCAACAAAACCACTCGCAACAACTGGAACTGGAGAAACAGCTCTGCACTGGATACATTTTTATATTAGATATAGGATGAAATAAACCACTTCTTAAACATCACACTACTCAAAACTGTTTCTTTCCGAGTGGAAAAACACATCGAAAAGAGTCTGTATATGTGATGATGATGATGATGATGATGATGTGTGTTCAGAAGCAGCAAAGCCATTTCCTGCTTTTCATCTTCTGAAGTTTAAGTCAGTATTTAACTGCTCGATGAGTTGTGTAAACAATTATTTGCCAAGAAGTTCACCACATTAATTAAAAGGGTGGTGATATGTACTGCCCCCAAGTGGCCAACAAATAAAAGGGGTGTTGATTTAAATATGAATGATACGATTTGGCACAGCTGAGGTTCTCAAAGATTAAATGCAAGAGGAAGAAGAAAGCAGTGAGCTCCCTAACAGAACACCTCCTGTGTGGGATAAACAGGAACACAAAGCCCCTCTGTGTGTGGGGGTCAAAGGTGAGGGGTCAGTCAGGGTCATGGCTGAAGTACACAGACGGCCCCTCATCTGCTCCGAGGCTTCTGACCCTCACCCAGACGTTCAGAATCTGGTTCCTATGTGAGATGTGTTCACATACAGGAGAGAAGGTGTTTGTCTGGCACACAATGTTGACACTCCTCCACAGTGTCTGGAAGCTAGTGGGTGAAAGATTACAACTAAACACTATCTAAACTGTATACATATTTGTATACATATTTTTATATATTTGTTTTTGTATTCGGGATTGTGGGAAATGGTATTTTGATCTCTCCGTCTGTACCATGGTCTGTACACACAAACTGAAAGATTGACAATAAAGTTGACTTTGACTATCTAAGGATGTTTAAAAAGAGTTAAGTATTTAGCTGTACCATGAAACTCCTCTATAGCAGATCAACATGTGTTCTTCTTTTCTTTTGGGTCTTACGGACCGTCTACACAGCAGCGTTAAAAAAATCTTGAAACGCTTCTGCCCATTCACTTTGAATGGGGTGACGTCACTTTCCCTCACTTTTCGCCGAACTGCATTGTGGGCAGGCGAGCGGAGATTTTCAGGATTTTCAGGATTCAAAGTTGAGCAATGTTCAACTTTTGAGGCTGAGGTGGAAGCGTCAGCCAATCAAATCCCGTGCACGCAAATCTGACAGTTCAAGCTCTAGCCAATCAAACGGCGTGTATGCTGGGAGAGACATACCGCAGGTAATTTCCTCATATTCCAAAAAATGGAGGAGAAATTAGCGGTAGCGAATCAATCACCCGGTGCTTTATGACCAGACCTACCGGGATATAAACCGGAGGAGCCAGGCATGGAGGGAGGTGGCAGAGACAGTGGTAGGTTTTCGCCTGTTTTGGGAGTTTATATCCAGTTTACTTCGGGCTTTTTTGCTTCGTATGTCGCGGGCGGGAGATTCATGTGATTGGTTGTTCGTGCCTTGCTCGCAAAAAATCCTCAAGCTTCAGATACGCCCACCTCCAAGATTTTTTTAACGCTGCTGTGTAGACGGTCCGTTACAGTAATACAGTTCTGATTGTTGCATTATGCTTTAGTTGCACTTTGTTTTAGGAACGGTCGAGCCAGGGATTCTAATCCAACATACTTGGTCAAACTCAGCTCATATATCCTGAGTGTCAGCTAGCTCCATGTGTGCACAATAAACCACAACTGAGTTCATATACTGTACAGCCCGGGCTCTGTACATCGGAAACTAAGATAGCATCTTGGACCGAGCCAAACTACATTATGTCAACTAATTAGAAAAAGAGGTGTGTGTATTTGTGCACGGACAAGTGAATTTAAAGGTAGTTGGAGCTAGAGGAAGAGTAAATGTATTGCTAGTAATCAAAACATTTTCTACAGGATCTCTGAACCAACCTTTCATTAGTCTCAGTTATTGCTTTTGGGCTCTGTCTCGAGCTTCGGTTGATATATGGATTGGACCACAACCAAACACTTTTTTTTTTTTTACAATCAGTCACTCTATGAGAGCCTGCTTTAGTGATTCCCTTATAAGAATAGACAGAACTACAAAAAGAATCAAATTAGTATATAAGCTATTTTCAAAATACTTCAAATCCTGTATTGTCCTATAACTAAGCACCACCATCTGGAGACACGATTATGTTTCTTCTGTTTTGATTTGATCACAGACTGCCGCCTGAGGGTCTATATTTTTCACCTGTTGGGTTGTATTTGTTCGCCTCCACAAACAGACAGAAATAATCTGATATTTTTCATTTAGACTGTAATCACTGCATCTCTGCCACGAGACGAGCAGCAGGAAGAAGAGATGAGATAAGAGGTAGCAATGAGGAAAGAACATGATGAACTAATTACAGGTTTGGCTGCCATGACCACAGAGTAAGAAATATAGAGATAACGGTATCATGGCTGTGTCTCTACAAACGGGGCCATCACTAACAGTAGATTTGTTAGCCACATCATGGTTTCATATCCTTTACTTTGCTGCAATCCACGGCACCCTGAGGTGCTTCTGAATTCAACTGTAAATGTTAAATAAACCAGCAGGGCTGCAAGTTATTTGATTTATTTTTTCGCAATGATATCCTTTCATTACATCCATGTTGATTTAACTCATGATAAAAACAGCTTTAAGCCAATACACATACAGTATGAGCATATTTTTGACTTGTGTTGGTCAACCCTTTATAATTTTATGAATCAGACAAAAAAAAACAGTACAATATCATACCAAAGAGTAAAAATCTACTTAATACTGCACGCCAATGAGTCCTTGCCATTTGACATCTCTTGTCCTTCATGAAGTTTTTGTTAGCCATGACTTGCATTAATTAGTTTCATAGCTAGTAGATGACATAACAACTGAACAAATACCACAACATATTTTCTTCATCAATATGATGCAGCCAATGTAACCCTGACCCAACAGGCCGTTCTACTCCTTTTCGCCCAATTCAACAACATTTGGTTCAAACGGGCAGCTTTGACAAACTTTGCTGGAATGTAGTGGGGCCAACATCAAGTACAATGTTTGCACATTGATGCCACAGGATATTTGGCATCCAAGGTTAAGTTCATAATTTTGAAGGATGTACAAAAACGACTTTATCAGCTCAGACAAAATCATTTTCAGTTTAAGCAGAAGTATGAAAACGGGTTATGCAAAACACTACTGCAGTTGATTATCCTTCCCTAAACCCTAAATCATTAGCATTAAAGTGAATCCTCAGTTAATTATACTTTCATTCACTGCACACAAACAACACAATATTTGTGTTGTTAAGCTTAAACAACACTTTCCATTTATTTGACATCAAACTTTTAAACAGATTAAATACAAATCACGCTTCACAAAGCAAATAATGAGCATGACATTCCAATGAAGCCAATTAAAAGAAATGGAGGTAAATCTCTCCTTCATCCTGCATCAAAACAAAGAAGTCTCCGTCAAAGCCGGATTACCACCAAAGCATCCCATCATACATTTTCCCTTTCCTACAATGAGAAAGGATTTGCCAAGATCAAATGTGATTGCAAATCTACCAAAACACGTTAGCACAACCAACTCATTATGTGGCGACCAAATCCAGTGTGGGAAGATGGCTCTAGTGCAGGGGTGCCCACACTTTTTCAGCTTGGGAGCTACTTTTAAAATGACCAAGTCAAAGTGATCTACCTACAGGGCCCAAAGTCATGTGGTGAGGCCCTGTGTGTCGCGAGCGGGGGGGGGGGGCTAGTGGACTGCGAGCACCGGAACCTCGAAGCGGCGGAGAAACTGTGGCGCGCTTACACTTATTGTGCCGCATTTGCGCTTCAGATGAGGAGGTGAGGCCCCCCTTATACCCTTTCTTTAGTAGAATTGTATAAATTGGAACGCTAACTCGGTAATCAGCTCGCCGGTGATTTGCAGCTGGCGCAGTTGACCGCGCATGCGTGGTGAACTGCGTGTTAGAAAATATGAGATCTCAGACTGGCTTACCTGTACGTCAATCAAGTGGCAAATGCCATAGTAAGGATGGATGATAGGCAAACTTAAAAAAAAATGTTAACTTAATTTTTATTTATTTTTTCAATGCCATGCGATCTACCCACACTACCTTCACGACGTATTGGGCACCCCTGCTCTAGTGCATGCAGCAGAAAGAAACCCTTAGTTATAATCATGTATTGGCCTAAGGCAATTAGACAGCTCTCTCTTTTTGAATACTTATATGTTGAGTAAAAAAGTGTACAAGGTGTAAGACAGTCCCAATAATAACTGCCTATATGTACAATCGTTTAAATATGAGTAGGAGATACTTAGAAACAAAAA